AAAATCCCATGATCCGTTTTAAAGTTATGAAGCAAAAACGATTTGAAAATTGTAACTTCAGAACCCAAACTAAGCAACTTTGTACTGGGCTAAATTTGCTTGTATTGAAATGATTTGGTCTGAGGAATATGTGACAAATTTCTGTAAAGACCTTTCACGAACACCCTGTATAATATCGAACTCGTTGACCGATTTTCTAAAATAAAACTTCCATAATGAAGTACTCAAAAAGCTGTCTTCGAAAATGTGGACAAATCTGAAATATTCAGATTCTCAAGGCCTACTATTGTTTGTTGAAGGGCTAAGATTTCAGAAACGACTATTAGGCATTTTTTCCAAGAAAGTGAAGAGCCTTGTCGATTCAGGTTTAGCTGAAATACCCCAAATTTTACCGCAATACCTTTTATAGGGTGTTAGTTATTTAATGGAAATTTTTCATATATTTTTTTTCAATCCACTCTGTATCAAAGTCTGAAGAGTTAATATGACCGGTGAAGTTGTCATTCAACTGAGAAACCTATCAAATACTTAGATACGGAGTTTCATCGTTGTAAAACTCCACAGGTAGGTCTCTCCAGGTCAACCAAAACTAGAGGGAACTGAAGTTTAAAATGTTCTCATGATGATTCATCTTTTTTTCTGATAATATGAACAATAGTCTCAAATTTTTATTTTTTTTGTAAGTCAAAAATACTGTTTTGTCACGTGAATAATGAAAACTTTTTGCGAGTCTTCAAATTGGTGTATCTCAACTTCAGATTTACTGATTTCTGGTCGACCTAGAGACATCTTACTGTAGAACTTACAATGATGAAAAAATCTAAATATTCGATGTGTTCTCCCATTGAATGACTATCAACGCCGTAGATTGTAATACAGGGTGAATTGAAAAAGCAACAATCATTAAAATTTGCCATTGAATAATCAACATCCTATATTAGGTATAAGGTATTGCCTTAAATTTTTGTATGGTAGTATCTCAGCTATGCCTGAATGAAATAAGCTATCCACTTTTTATGAAAAATATTGCATAATAGTCTTTACCTACGGCCACTATAGAAAGTAGGCAAGAACACACGAGATACAGCCTCAGTAAGTAGCTCTTTACGCACAGAAAGCACATCGCATTTTCAGAGATTTTGTGTCTTGAAAAAATTGCATTTGGAGGTCCATATCGAGAAAACTGTCAATTTTTGGAGGTTCGGTCAATTGGATTTTATCATCAGTTCATTCCTATCTACAACATGCCAAAAATTCAACCATTTTCAGATACTTTTAAAAAAAAACGAAAACTGACATTTGGAGGTCTATGTCGGAAAAACTGTCCATTCTTTGAGGTTCGTTCAATGGAATATCTGTTCAGTATATCAAAGTCTGCAACATACCAAAAATTCAGCGATTTTCATCGAGAGCCATTTTCCCTATAGTTTAGTGCGGGGTCCTTTGAGTAAAATCCCATGATCCGTTTTAAAGTTATGAAGCAAAAACGATTTGAAAATTGTAACTTCAGAACCCAAACTAAGCAACTTTGTACTGGGCTAAATTTGCTTGTATTGAAATGATTTGGTCTGAGGAATATGTGACAAATTTCTGTAAAGACCTTTCACGAACACCCTGTATAATATCGAACTCGTTGACCGATTTTCTAAAATAAAACTTCCATAATGAAGTACTCAAAAAGCTGTCTTCGAAAATGTGGACAAATCTGAAATATTCAGATTCTCAAGGCCTACTATTGTTTGTTGAAGGGCTAAGATTTCAGAAACGACTATTAGGCATTTTTTCCAAGAAAGTGAAGAGCCTTGTCGATTCAGGTTTAGCTGAAATACCCCAAATTTTACCGCAATACCTTTTATAGGGTGTTAGTTATTTAATGGAAATTTTTCATATATTTTTTTTCAATCCACTCTGTATCAAAGTCTGAAGAGTTAATATGACCGGTGAAGTTGTCATTCAACTGAGAAACCTATCAAATACTTAGATACGGAGTTTCATCGTTGTAAAACTCCACAGGTAGGTCTCTCCAGGTCAACCAAAACTAGAGGGAACTGAAGTTTAAAATGTTCTCATGATGATTCATCTTTTTTTCTGATAATATGAACAATAGTCTCAAATTTTTATTTTTTTTGTAAGTCAAAAATACTGTTTTGTCACGTGAATAATGAAAACTTTTTGCGAGTCTTCAAATTGGTGTATCTCAACTTCAGATTTACTGATTTCTGGTCGACCTAGAGACATCTTACTGTAGAACTTACAATGATGAAAAAATCTAAATATTCGATGTGTTCTCCCATTGAATGACTATCAACGCCGTAGATTGTAATACAGGGTGAATTGAAAAAGCAACAATCATTAAAATTTGCCATTGAATAATCAACATCCTATATTAGGTATAAGGTATTGCCGTAAAATTTTGTATGGTAGTATCTCAGCTATGCCTGAATGGAATAAGCTATCCACTTTTTATGAAAAATATTGCATAATAGTCTTTACCTACGGCCACTATAGAAAGTAGGCAAGAACACACGAGATACAGCCTCAGTAAGTAGCTCTTTACGCACAGAAAGCACATCGCACAGTTTTCGTTAACTCCGCCAGTCATGATCGCGTGATCGCAATCAACAGCGGATGACATAACTGTCAAGAATTATAATTCAGACTGTTCGTCCAAACTTTTTTGATGTACTATATGGCAGTAGGTAAAGTATAGTACGTAATGCGTGTTGTAAAGCAATTACGCACTCATGGAATTACGCACTCGCCGCTCCGCGGCTGCGCGTAACTTTTCCATTCGTGCGTAGTATGCTTCTTACAACACATATTACCTAATATACTAATTTCGCAATTTTGACCGCTTCAACAAATAGTACCCAACAAACAATGAACTACCGGGAAGCTATTGGCCCAATGCTTTCTTTGCTGGAGAAATGACTTCAACGGCAAAAATCTGTTGGCCTTTCACATTCTTGTAGTCACTTAGCCTGTGGAGCAGATAGGTATTGTGCCTTCATCGTTTCATTGACTTTGGTGTTGCCGGGAAAGACAACAACTTTGTTTACTCAATCCTTGAGATTGCCAATGCTGCCAATAATTAAAACTACGTTCAAATATCTAATTACATCAATTGTCTACGATGAAAAATTATTTGATATTTTTTGACATATATGACTGAAAAAAAATCTAATGTCTGCATTCATGTTTTTTGACCTTGCAGAACTTTTTATGGAAAATGCTTTCTTTTTTCCTAATTTTTTTCCGTAAAATTAATAATGAAAAGTTTCCCATATGAATCGATCAGAAATGATTGTAAGAAATAATAAAACATGATTTTCATCGTAGGTAGATGTTATCAGATATTTAAGCATAGTTTTCAATTCTAGTCCACTTTTCTATATGATTATTTTCGATATTGTCGAAAATAAAGGTACTTCACACTTGAACAAAATCTATATTTTTGACATACCTGATATTCGCGTTTTTGGGTTTTAGTCCTTGCAGAATGAGGAATGACTATCTTCCTAAAACTAATAATAAGAAAGTTTTCCATTGGTTACCAACTTCTTCAGACTGTATACTTTCCTAGAATGATCCAAGATTATCCGAATGGAATTATACAAGGTGTTTTTGAAATAAGTGCACACATTCAGCACAATAATATGATACAGTCTAAGGAATATTCCCATGATATCAGATTTTTCCTAATTCTTCTAATTAACGAGAAATTTCATCCCAAAAATTGAACAAAATACGAGAAACAATTTAAATGAACTCTGTGTGATTGTGCCAACTGCATGGAAATTTGAACAGAAGTGACGTCAGATTTGCTACAGTGTAGAACTTTGGGTGGAAAAAATGGTCTAACCTCAAAAATAGGACTGAATGGACACACCTGGAGAAAAGTCCATCAGCGCTATTAAGTCACGACAATGTATGAGGTTAACCTTCAGAATGAAGATCTCATCACAATCTTATCATCAGTCATTATTATTCTCTTTATATTTTGATCGTTCCTATGCCAGTATGGGGTACTGATAGTCCATCACAATGGAATGAATGTCGGATTATTGATGGCCCCGTACCAACGTTAGATATTTTGCCGCAACATCTAGTTATGGGAGCAATGTATTGGGCCTTCAATTTACCGCAAATGAATGTTTGTTGGGTTGTCTTTGAGAATTAGAATATTACAGATTTGTCCACATTTTCGAGGAGCAGTCATTGAGTACTATGTTATGGCATTTATGTCCCAGGAAATTGTTCAACTGGTCCCAATCTAGGAGGGTGTTGCGAGTTGAAATCGCTCACACTGTAAACAAAATCTAGATGATTCACTGATAGCTTTCACAATTTCATACTTCAATATTTAAAAACATTTTTCCAACCTAATTCAAAACCAAAGCTACGGTGATCCCAAATATGGGGCTCAGATACCCCAAAAGTTCCATTGCAAGATGACAAGAGTCACATTATATAATGTCAGATGAATGAATTATTGAATTATTCATATAGTGAGAGAAATGGGCCTGTCATAAGTCTTTTTTTTTCAAGTGACATTCACATCATCCATCATCTCTAGTTATGGTGAGGCTTGGGGTTTCTACTACCAATGTTTAACTTTAACTAACGTACAAGTTTTACATTTACAGCAAAAAAGATAAGAGGCCATATGAAACGAAACCAGCATCAACTTGATGAACCACAAAACTTATTATTACCAGTATTTCCCTTCTCAAAAGATCCAGAAAGATTTTTAATAATATACGAAAAATTCATTCTATATTTTGATGAGAGACAATCAAAAAATGACGCTTTTGCTTTGTTCAGCAGAGATAAAGAATGGATACGTAAGTCGTATCGCGCACGGTAAAAAAAATTGGGAAGCTTTTCGTCATAATGGGAATGCACAATTGGTTTCATCAAGAACTCAAATTTCGTTAAAAATTTCTCAAAATTGTGCACACGCTATATCTAACATTCCTCAAACTCCTGAGACTATTTTTGTAACTATAATTCGAAGACTGAGTATAATAGTTACACAATCCGGGGTGGACATATTATATTGACAAATAATTTTGTGAACTCAGTGTTGAAATCAACTCAAAATATTTTATCGTGTATGAAGTTGCAACTTTGCATTTTCCCTCGTTTTTTATTTCATAAAATATCGCGGATTTCAATATTTTAAAGAGTGTAGGGAATTTTGGAAAACGATAAGTGTCTGAACTAGTTTGGTTAGTACTTCAAAATAATGGAATGAAATTCAAAGTCTGTCTTCGTTTTCAAGTAACTGGTTGTATAGAAAACTATAAAAACGTGTATTCCTCAGTAGGACTACTTCTACCTACATGTTTTAGGTTGATCTTTGGGGAACCAGACACTTTCAAAGAACTCCTACCGAAATTTCTTCTACCGCCGAAGGCCAATTCCCCTTTCTGATTGAAATTTTCCACCATATTCTTCACGGTACTACCAGATCCAAGAGATTTTTTCGACGTATCTTCTATGTTCAAATATCCCTTGCGTCTCTGCAATATTGGCGTGAGTTTATTCAATAGTGAAGATTTTTCGCAGCTAGAAATAAACTTTTGCTTGACAGTGCTGTACGACTGCTTGTCATTCGGAGCATCAATTCTTTGGTCATCCTCATTTTTCTTTTCGCCGAAAGAAGTATTGGGAGTCTGTTTAGGCAACCAATAATGCGGTTTACTTGCTGAATCATCGGAATGTTCAGGCTTAGATGCAGTTCGCCTTTGTAACAAGGGAGTCCTTTTTAATAGCGAACTATCACCAGAATCTTTCGAGTAACGGTGTCTAATCAAACTAGAACCACTCTCACTATTTGATTCTGATTTAGGTAATGCACTTTTCGTACTTGAAGAGACACCATCTGGATCATTCTGTTTGGACTTTTCTACACTGCTCAGTTGTCTTTGATAAGGCAACAGTGTCTGCTTTTCCACGTTAACATTTTTAATATTCCCAACAAATTTTTCAGTTACTTGTGATGGTAATGTTTCACTTTTCAGCCGTATACTATCCAAGTTAAGGTTTGAAACTTTATCACTGGATACAGGAAACGGTTTTAAATCGAAAGCTTTGCCTAAGAATTTCTTCCGTTCTCTTGCAGCTTGGTGTTCCTCATCTGCTTTCTCTTTGACTAAACGGTTTCTGGTAAAATTTTTAGGAACTCTTCTCAGAGTGACATTGAGGTAATTTTCGCGAAGGTTATTGTCCTGAGGCGTGGAAGCGTTATTGATTTTGGGCTGAAACCCGGTACTGAACATATTCTTATCGCATTTTATCAGTTCAGTGTCTGACAGTTTTTGTATACAAATAGGCTTTTCTGTCACTCCTGCAAATGCTGTATCGTTCTTGAGAAAATCAATATTTTCGTAATCAGGAAATCCTCTGGGGTTTTCAGAATCTAATTCATCAGCTTCAAAATTTTCATTCAGATTTAGCTCATTCTTAGAAAGCATATTTTCGCAACTTTTCGTAGTGAATTCGAGTCTATCAGGTTTGTCATCATACAGAGTATCACTGCTAGATACTTTGATTATAGGTTTTATATAATTTTCTTTTCTATTATTCAACAGATTTTCTGCAGAAGAAACTTTGATGATAGACTTCAAGTTATCATTGCTCTGTTTTTCTATTTTTTCATCACTTTTGTATATTTTATCAGAACTCCGTTTGATGTTCGCCAGTTTCCCTTCACAAATCGGCTCTAGGGCTGGACTTCTATGACCGGAAGGAATACCTTCGGGAGTGTTACTGCCAGATGAGCTTGGGCTCAGGCCTCGATAATGTTGGATATCGAAGAGAAGGTCTGGTGGTAACGGCATTCCTACAGATAGATGCATAGAAAAAGATTCCAGCCACACTTCCATCACTTCAAAAGGAGGCCTGGAATAAAATAAAATAACATGAACCACTAATGTAGTGACTAGATACCTTATTGAATCGAGAGTAGGCATTAACTGCCTCATAAAAGGAAACAAAGCTGTCAATTAACTTCCACGGAAGAAAGAAACCTTCCTTGGGAGGAAACATAAATTAGTCGACTTCTTTTTCGAAATATCAGCAAAAAGGGTTGGTTTGACTGAAAAAAATCAGGCCTTCTTTGGAGAAAAGTGAATTGACCATTATTTGAAATGAAAATCCCCTTCCTGGGCATTAAACTCACAGCCATTCAAATTTAGAGCACATTTTCAGGATTTCTAAAAATTTTTATTTTTCAGCTATTTTTCACTGTGAAGCATTGTTTTTTCAGGAAAGTTGATCGGAACTAACTTTGGAGATGAGAAATGGTGTTACAATTCATGATTTGAGTAGGGCTGCAGTAATTGATAGCTTCTGAAATATAGCTGTTTGAATTTTGGGTATACTTCTAATAAAAATATACCTTGAAATATGAAAAAATAGCAATGTAACTGGCAAACAAGGGTTGTTGGTACAAATACAAACAATCAAATTGTATGTAACTCGCATAATGCTTCGATTTAGGAGAAAATGTATTCTACTTATATTTCCGGTACATTGTCAGACCACTCATCACAACAAAATGAATATTTCAATCATGTTATTCACGAAGTTAGGCATACTTTTTCACAGATGCACGGAATTAATTACAAAGGGTTTTTGGGGCCTGACCAACCCTATCCCACAGGAATTTTCTCTACTTCTAACTATTTGTGCACCTCAGAAAATACTTTTCCACAATACGTATAATTGGTAACTGAAGGAGAATTAACGTAGAAAAATAATGGAGAATATATTATTCGTTATCAGCTAATGAATAATGAATTTAGTAATGTACAGGGTGATCAGTTAAGGGTAGCAAGCGGCCATATCTCATAAGATATTGGTCGTATAGATTTGAGAAAAAAAAATCATGATAAAAGTCGCCAAGAGAAATGGCTGGAAATTATTTTCGAGTTTGTCAAACGTCCGGTAGAGGGCGTAACAACCAACACCTAGTAGAAAAATGGGATTTTTATAGAATTTTGTATGATGAAAGTATATCGATGATATCATTTTGAAACGTTTTGTTATAACTATCAAAATGAAGCGGTTGGGAAAGTTCAACTTTTTTTAAACAAACCAAGATTTCTCCCGTTTATTTCCACCGATTTTAGCAAACTTAGGCTCATATGAAAGAGCATGATTTGCCCTACAAAACGATTATTTGGTTTTGGATTTATGACTTTTGCTGTCGCCGCTAGATGGCGTTAACTGAAATGTTTGCAAATATTTTAGTTTTTTTCAAAAAAAAAAACAAATGTAATGGTATATTAATTTTTATGTTTCAAAAGATGATACATATCTCTATAATTTAAGGAAAATAATTTATCACCTACCTTTCTTTGAACCGTTGATATTGACTAAAACATAATTGTATTACATTTAAAAATGGCACGCCACTGTTTTTTATCAAAATAAAAATCAGTTTTGTAATCTAGTTAGTTGCTAACAAAAAGAACCTCTTGATTTTTTTTCGTTAGACAAACGGTTTTGGATTGAAAAAATTAAATATGTTTACATGGGGCGCCCATATCTAATATAATTTTGAACCTTATAATTATCATAATAATCAGTATAAAAACCAATTTTATTTTTTCAATCAAAAACCGTTTGTCTAACGAAAAAAAGTCTTGAGAGATTACAAAACTGACTTTTATTTTGATATTTGATTTGCGTTCCATTTTTTAATGTAATAAAATTATATTTTGGTCAATATCAACGGTTCCAGAAAAGGTAGATGATATGATATTATCGATATACTCTCATTAGACAAAATTCTATAAAAATCCCATTTTTCTACTTGGTGTTGGTTGTTACGCCCTCTACCGGACGTTTGACAAACTCGAAAATAATTTCCAGCAATTTCTCTTGGCGACTTTTATCATGATTTTATTTTTCTCAAATCCATACGACTCTTATGAGATATGACTCCTCGCTACCCTTAACTGATCACCCTGTACATCTCCTGGTGGTCCTCAGAGAGTGGAGTAGTGCAACATGCTGGGAAGGAGGAAGTCTAGCAATAAGAAAGGCCGGAGATTTTACGCGACGAGCTTACACTATCTTTATATCGAGAATCAGTCGGGATAAATCCATGAAAATGTGCATGCTTATATTTTGAAATACGCTCTCGTATTCAAAATATTTTCGACAAATGCAGTGTTGCCGCTTCCACTAGAAAGTAGTAGCAACAGTGATATTTCAAATGAAATACCCTGTGTGATATATCGATGAAATCAGCTCTTCAGGAAGAATCTAAAAATGCAAAAGATAATGGGAGGAAAATGTTTACCAACTGAAAGGGAACTTTTGAAGATCGTAATGTCGATATTCGGTCTTCTTCGTTTCGCAACTAACATTCTTATTATATGCTAAAATACCTATGCAAGATTTATGGAAGAAAAAATGAGTTGGGACAAAAAGTTACTGTAAATTACCAAGCAAAATGGGAAAAAATGGAGAAGAACAATCCTATAGAAGTTTTGGAGTATAAATATACGAGGAATAGTCAAGAAAATTGAAAAACAATGTATTGTATATATAAATACAAAAAACTCAAAGTCATTTCCACACAATGTTCATAAAATGAACAACAATGGTAGATTTCGGGAGAAAAATAACTACTTTCCCAGCTAATGCCACACAGAACATTGAATTACATCCTCCCGAAATCTATCCATCGACTCGTATAAACGAATACTGATACGAGTGATTCTGACTGCCGGCTGGAGACTGCCCTGCACTAATGACAGTCAAAGAGCTCGAAACCGGTCTGTAGGTACCTAGCGTGGCCTGGCTAAATCGATATCTACCATTGTTGTTCATTATATGAACATTGTGTGGAAATGACTTTGAGCTTTTTGTATTTATTTAACATTTCATTCCACTTTGAGCATTGTGGCTATTTCGTAGTTGGAATGTATTGTATGCAAAAAAACAAAACAAAACCAGAAATTCTCATCATGAGTGAGTTACCAAATTGTAGGTTAGCAGCTCACTAAGTCCTCCCGTTGGGTTGCACGAATCCAAACTTCTTGCCTGCTTTTAGAAACTTCACAAAACTTTTTATTAGATTGCAGAAGGAACTCTAGATGTTGAAATTTCAAAATGAAAATTATGTGACTACAGAACTTCAAGATAACAATGTACCCACCTGAAAAATCGTATTCCTTCGTCTCTCGCTTCTCGCTTTCTTGTGCATTGTACAACAGCACAATGTGATGGCATGCTTGAATAAATAAATAGCCCAAAACAACACGATTCGTTTGCCAAAATAATTGTAAAAAACTATTTCAATCCTTGGTAAACAAATAAGAAAAGTGAGGAGGTTGTTTTACCTAAAGGGTCGGTCATCTGTAAAATGTGAAAGCGACCTATTGGCAGGGTAACGATTCCGATACGACACCTGGGGGGCATATTTGAACCAATTCATCAGGGTTTCCAAGGTCATTTTCTCTTCTTGATTCTCTCGAGTACAAGACATGAACTTTATAATAATTTGCCGACTCAATTCTATATTATTTTATAAATGATGATTTCTAAAAAACCGCGAAATCAACTGTTTTTTGTTGATAGTTGATCTAGTAGAAGGCTCCAATAGAAAAATGTAGGATGTGAAATGTCTGAACAATACATTTCCTGTACTTCAGAAGTATTTTCTGATGATGAAAGATCAATTCAGTTGAATGGAAGAAATGGATAAACGTACCATCGAATTTGGATTTGAAAACTGGATGTATGCACCTACCACAAAATCTTCCTACCTTTTTTCTCTACATTGCCCCAATAATGAAAATAAGGTAAATTTGTGATGCATAGATATACTTATCACTGATAATCAACTATTTGTTGTGCCTATCTGAGCATGATTGAAACGATGAACAGTTCATATTTTGTTGGTGGTGAAAAGTCTCCAGAAACGACTTGGGAAAATAAGTATGGTTGTTTCCTTTTAAAATAATTCGGTAATGAAAATGAAGAAGCAAATTCAGTGCCTTCGTATTTGAATTGCAATACACTCAAGGCTGGGCAAGAAAGAAGATGACATTATGAATAACATAATTATGCAGGTGGGTAATTTATGGTTTTATTTGAAATGCTTGCCTTCTCTCAATCATATTAAAATCATGTTCATGACACCCTGCATAGGACTTCATAGATTCATATTTTCGTAGTATCATCCCTATTAAATAGCCAATGCAGATTGCATGTACTTCCAAAACGATTTAGTGAGGATACCCTGATTTCATTCACATGAGCAGAGACAGAAGCGTATTATCTTGATTCGAACGAATTATTCAGCAGTGTTTGTAGGTAGGTAGCTCACTCCATAGTATGAATTGAATTTTTGAACATACCTCCATTGAAGGACACTTGAATGTTGAGATTGTGTAATAGCTGATAGATATGGTATGTTTATAGTAGGAACTTACATTTCTTTTTCAATTTTTCAGTAGGGGAGAAGTTGCCAGCCAGGGTATCTTGCAATTGAGTGTGAAAAGGTATTTTTATTTTTGATTTTTACATACCTAGATGAATTTAGTATTACAAAATGAAATTACAAATACCTACACTTACAAAAATTCTACGTCATTTGAACATTTTTCATGCAGTGGAACGGAAAGTATTCAAAGATTGCCTATTCGCGAGATTCACGAAGTGGGCGACATCTAGGTTTCATAACACGAACTTGAAACTGGGGGAAAACAAACTGTTGTCTATGGATAAAGTGCATAGACTACATTGCATACAGCTTGCTGTAGCTGTAGTTGTCAAACTTGTCAATGACATAAAGTGAAAGTGTTGGCACTGTTGGTAGTGATGATGTGGGGAAGATTTTATCGCCGAAGTTTGTAGACAAAGTGCAAAACTGTGCCTTTTGTTGAAGTCTTCTGCCTCACACAAAATCACATGATTAGCATGGAAAACTGCTTCTCCTTCCACTACTGGTCGGCTTTTTCCATCTAAATAGAGCAAAATATCTGCCAAAAGAACATCTACAACAGGCATTATTAGCGTTTTCGATCGAATATTGACAATTAATGTCGAGAAATTTAAAAACTTATTACTCTTATCAGTACAAAGTATACAAGCTAATGGAATTGAGTGAGGATTGAGGTTGCTTTCCTCCAGTTTTGACGTGGCTTTGACATGGAACGATGAAAACCGAGCGCCACCTGTAACATTGATTCCCGCGAATAGTGCTATTGACTGGCAGAATTTTGGATCAATGAACAGACAATATTTTACCTCTCGCCCTCGCCTGCTAACTAGCAAACTACCATTTCCATTTAGATCGACAATGACCAGGTTCAAGTAGTGTAGTATAATCTTCCTGTTTTTACATATCATTTGTAATTTTAAAGTATAAATTAATCATAGATGAAGAAACCCAAAGTCAATTAATCAGCAAAGAACTCACCTTTTATCTGGATTCAAATCTGTGCATAAAAAAGCAATCTTGTAGAATGGTTCAGGACACGAACTACAAAATGATTCCTTGAACACCACTTGATTCAATCCAAAATCGTTGGACCTTGGAAGAAAATCCGGATCAGCCTGTACCCTACCTATGATCTAGGAGAAAAAATCGAACATCTTAAACTCTTCAATTATTTTGATAGGAATGAAATTGATAAATTAATGTTTATACCATTGTGGTAGGTGAACTGTATTTGATTTTCAAATATTTATATCCAAAAACAGACTATTGTAAATGAATGGAACGTCTGGGAATGCCTCATCACAAGATGGCAATTCAGCATCAGAACAAATTAGTAGGTTGTTGATATTGCGTTTCATAAACGGTCATCTTTGTACAGGGTTTACACGTATATTTTGACCCCCCCAACTTCTTCTTCGTTTGTTATTCCAAATATGTATATATATTGTATGTCATCTCCCACAGTTTTCTCCCGATTGTCTTCACTGATTACAACATTTTATATAGCTAGGGTTAGAAAAATGAACGATTATTAGCTGTCAACTATTTCAAATAAACATCATTATCAATGAATCAATTATAAGTAACATCACATATAAAGGGTGTTTCAAAAAAAGCTTACTGCCTTGTTAGGGTCGGTAGAACACTGCAAAATGAGTTGGGTTTGTGCAGAAAAAAAATGTCGTAACGACATCCGTTTTCAAGATGAAAGTTGTTGAAAAAAATATTTTTTTACAGATTGGTATTAAAATGTAGCCAGTGGTTTCTACATAATCGTGGAAAATGTGTAAAAATTTATTTTTCTCAACACCTTGTATCTTGAAAACGGATATCGTTACAACATTTTTTTACTGAGAAAACCCACCTTATTTTGCAATGTTCTACCTACCTCAGCAAGGGGGTCACCTTTTTTTGAAACACCCTGTATACGTATTTCAAATCACAAATATATACTCTATCTGATAGTAATAAAATTCATATAAGTTACGATAACTTTTTTTGAGATGTTCAACTGTTTGTGAAGTTTTGACATTTACTATGGATTTCCTTCAAGTAACGGCCGAGTCAATTAAAAAATAAATAAATAAATAATAAAGTTGAGAGGTTAAAAAAATAAGTGAATACCCAAACTATTCTGACTGAATAAATGTGTTCAAGTGTGGTGAATGTGTCTATCTAAGATTCATCGACTAAGAATCTAACAATATTATTTTCCTCATATTTGTTTCTCTCACCTCACATAATACTATTCCAAAGCTGAATATATCGACCTTCTCGTCATATTTGTTCCCTTTCATCATTTCAGGAGCCATCCAATATGGATTTCCGACTACAGTATACCGCTTTTTTCGCTCTTGCCTCCTAGTTTGATTCTTCGGAGAAACCTTTCTAGCACTATTCGTGGCATGCGATATAATCCGTGCCAATCCGAAATCAGCCACTATAACAGATTTATCGTCGCGCACTAGACAATTCTGAGAGTTGAGATCTGTAATCGAATGAAAAAACAGAGTTAATCACATTTTTTTGCAATAGAAAAATCTTTTTCTGCAACCGACACAAAAGTCGTCCATTTTGATACCAAAATTAGCTCTTAAATTGACGTTTCTATTACTGACACAAAAATAGGTGTGTTGCTAGGCAACATATTTAGTTCCTAGGAGCTGAAGTTGAATTTTAGTTCCTAGGAGCTAAAGTTGAACTTTAGCTCCTAGGAACTAAAAAGGATCTACTGGACGTCATCAAGAATAAACAACATTGTGACGGTTAGTTATTTGGGTTGAGACGCATACCTGATTTGTTTCCGATTTCAGCAGATTTGGCATTTCATACCCATGCTGGAGATATAAATACACCTTATTATAGTTTAGTATTGGAATTATAAACATCTCAGTTGAGTATTTCTGTTTTGTTCAGGGAAGCCTTCAAGATTCAAATACTTGCTTGATCTGTATTTCATTCGTTATTCTCGGGATGGATAACTTGTTTTTGAATAATCACGGAAAGCAATAGTATATTTGTCTCAAACAACTATATTGTTTAGCTTCATTCGATTATCAAGTCAAACACAGTGTAGTATGCCAGTATGGAGAGGAATAAATAATCACTATTATCATTGTTGATATGCTCACTAACCTAACATTTTCCACGTCTTGTTCCTAATAGCTGGCACTGGCGCGGTATTTGCCATTAGAGCACCTGGTCCATACACAAATATGTCACTCTGTGGTTGTATTTATATTGAAACTACAATTCGAACATCCTAGAAAACCTAACTTGCTGTTAATGCAGGTAGAATATTCTCACCACACGGATTATTTGTCAATATTTGTTGCATTGCATACATATGGCACGGCATTGATGGTTACTTCACATGTTTATTTGAGTTAATTGTTTCGGTTGCATAAAAAAATAGCATGTTTCATTCGGATCAAAAGTGACTTTGTTCGATTCGCAAATTTTGCTTTCGCTCGGCTTCGCTAAACGCTCCGCCTCGCAAATGCAAAATTCGCTTGTCAAACAAAGTGTCACTTTTGATCCTAATAAAACAATCTACTATTATTTCAACTCCCTTTTCCTTCTCCTAGAAGCATATCCATTCAAAGTGTATGTCACTATCTTCAAATCGAGAATCAGTCGCAAAAAATCTTTTTCAAATAGAAATACAGGGTATTTCATCGAATTTTTAGATTTTCCCTGAAGAGCTGATTTCATCAATGTATCACTCTTGGGATCTAGCGGGAATGATTTCAGAGAGTTTGTTCGAAATCGAGAATTTTCAACTTTAGGATTATTTTTTCGTCAATACTATTCATTATAGGTGAAAACGGTTTACATGTCCCTATCTTCACTTCTCATTTACAATCTACTGACATTTGATTGGGTGGTTCAAGATTCAGAATTCTGATATCTGTTCCAATTGAATGCCAGTAGATGACATTTAATTGGAACAAATATTGGGTGGTTCAAGATTCAGAATTCTGATCACCCTGTATCTGTTCCAATTAAATGCCAGTAGATAGTAAATCAAAGAGTTGAGATAGGGACATGTAAACCATTTTGACCAATAATGAGTAGTTTCGACACGAAAAATCCTAAAGCTAAAAAATCTTGATTTTGAACACCCTATATTGATGAAATCAGCTCTTTGGAGAGAATCTTAAGATGCAATAATATACAAGGTATTCCATTTGAAATAATAAAGATGTTGCTTCTTTCTAGTAGAAGATTTCTTCGCGTCGCGATTACGTAATGACGACTACACCTTTTCTAATTTTAGTTCAAAAATTGTCAATTGTATTTCCAAATTGTCATTTGGAATTCAAAAAGTATCTCTTACGATATACGAATTTCCAAGATCCCGTAATCCCTAGACCAATGTGTTTGATGCCACCTCACCTCTGTGAATAATATTCATGGAATGAAGGTAAGCCATTCCAGCAGCAATGTCCTTGGCAAAAGAAACTCGTTGTTCCCAAGGGAGAGGTTGGTTCGAGTCGTGTAGAAGTTCAGTGAGGGATCCTCCCGAAATGTATTCAGTGACCAGGTGCAATCGTTTTTCTTTATATAAAACTCCTATAAACCGCAAAACGTTGTTGTGGTGCAAACTTCTCAGTACGGCAACCTAAAAGAACAAAAAGAACAACACATAATGATGAAGAACTGTAATGGGGGGTGCATTCAATCATCAACAGATAAGATTCTTTGGAGGTTAAATCAGTTAACTTTGATTTGATATGTATTCCATATGTAGTATTCGAACAGAGTGTTGACCTGTTTTATTGGCATTGTGATGCAAGGTTATGTTTGCCAAGTTTCATGCCAGTTTGATTCATGAATGGCTAATATTATTACTCCCACCAGTTGGTGCTACTAAAACGTGAGGTCAATGTCAAAGTCAAATAGTCGAAAAAAATTATGTAGAATATTCGAAAGAATAGAAAACCTCAAGTTATCAAGAGACTTGAGCAGACTTACGTGTTTTAACTATCAATGTGAACCTTTTCGACCGATTCTCACATTGACGGAGAAGATATCTAAGGAAGAGGCCAAATACACTACACTGTCGAGGCGTTCAAAAAATCGATTTGGTTAGTGGTAAAACAGTGTATTATCGTGCCAAAGGTTCCAGTCTGCAATATAATAAGAGACCAAATGACACGAAAACAAGAAGTATATTCATCGGTTCTACCAACTCTGATCTGACGTTGTAGTAGCACGATGATTTTGACATTTTTTGTTCTGGAGGTTTTGTATATTAAGAGTACGGACACTCAAAAAGCAGTGGCAGTCAGACAAAATCACAAAATGATCTTGAATAAAGTTTTGCAAAACAAGGAAATTAATTTCTTTGCTTAGATAACGGCTTCTCGTATCTACCGTCCTCTACATTCTGCATGGCGTCGCCTCGATTATATAATAGGGTAAGATAAATTGAATAGTTACGAATACAAATATTTTTTAACGCTTGGAGCGCACGAAAGGAAAACCCTATAATGTTCAGAGAACATCGTGCGTATTGGAATTTTTTTCAACTTCTGGAGATTATATGTTGTTGGAATGACTTCCTCAGGCAATGAATTCCAGAGCCTAGCCGTTCTATGGATGAAGGAGTTCTGATAAAGTGCTGTTCGACATCTTTCGAGGTTGACAACGAAAGGATGTACTGACTGAGCTTGTCTAGTTCGTCTGTCTGGTATTGCTAGTGAAGGGATGATAGCAGAGATTTCCGAAGAACATTTCGCGTGGAAGTATCGATAGAAAAGTGAAAGGTCGCCGACCTTTCTACGGCGTTCCAATGATGTCAAAGAGTGAGTGAGTGTGGCGTCACCCACCAGGCGAATGGCTCTTCTCTGGATGGAATTTAAGAGCATCAGCGTATGTTTTGGTGCTGAACCCCATATGTGGGAACAGTGTTCTAGAACAGGCCGTATCTGCGCTTTGTAGATCATGAGAAGCTGTTGAGGTGTAAAGTAGCTTTTCGCACGGAACAAAAATCTGAGTTTTTGAGAAGCAGCTTTTGTGATGGATCTGACATGATTATCCCATGAAAAAGTGATGCTGATGAAAATACCGAGCAAAGATATGGTGGGCTTGGTGGGGATAGTGGTGCCAGACATTACAATATCGGGCATACTGAGTTCCGCATTTCTAGAGAAAATACAGGCTTGAGTTTTGGTGGCGTTGAATTCAACTAGGTTGTTGGTTCCCCAGGCTGTGATTGCAGCAAGGTCTTCATTGACAGCATTGACCTGCCTGCGCCGTGAGTTCTTAGTTTCCTGGGACGAAATGGAAATTCTCGAAGGGAACGCAGTATGGAGGGGACTATCATCTGCAAAGCTGTGGATGGGGCAAGTTGTTACTTCCAACAGATTATTGATATGAAGAAGGAATAATGTTGGTGCCAGAATTGATCCTTGTGGAACGCCGGAATTGGTGCCAATGGTATCAGACGATACACCATCCACCACCACGTGAAGCGATCTGCCTGAAAGAAAACTCGATAAGAGATGGCATAGCTGAAGTGGTAAGCCGTATGGTGGTAGTTTGTGGAGGAGTCCTTCGTGCCAAACACGGTCGAATGCTTTCGATATGTCCAACGCGACAGCTAGAGATTCCCCGTGTTTTTCTAATGAAGCTTGCCATAAATGGGTGACGAAGGCAAGTAGATCTCCAGTAGATCTTCGGTGGCGAAAGCCGTATTGTCTATCATTGATGATTCTTGAGCTCTCCAGATATTTGATAAGCTCAATATTGATGGCTTTCTCCATCACTTAGGAGATTACTGATAACAGGGCAATGGGCCTGTTGTTCTTGGGCAGGTTCTTGTTCCTTTTTTTGGGGATTGGTTGGACTCTAGCTGTCTTCCAGCATGATGGAAAAATACCCGACCTGTACGAGACGATAAACAACTTGCAGAGAATCGGTGTTAATTCTGGTGCACATTTTTTGAGGATAATGGGTGGAATTCCATCAGGACCGTTAGCCTTATTCGTTTTGAGACCAAGCAAAATTCGTCTGATAGTGCGTTGACGGAAGACGATTTCGGGCATTCGACACTCAACAGGTGGAATGTCTGGCAGCACTTTTCCTTGGGAACAAATATCATATTATCCAAATGGAGACAATAGACTCCTTCACACGGATCAAAATTTTGAGTTTTATTGTTCAGATGAAGAAAAATTTCATTCAAAATACCGAGTTGAAAATTAATGTTTATATTTCGTCTATTCAAAATTAGCAGCGACGGTCATTCGCATTGAAATTTCATGAAGTGCTGTAACCAGATGAACCCCACGTGAATTTTATCACCAAAACTTTTTTCAAACTTGTTGGTTCTCATCTATTACCATTCTTTAAAGTCTGAAATAACTTTTAGGTAATCATTTTGGGATCTAAAACTTTCTGTGTCAATTTGTATTTCAACTATCTATTTTTATTTTCTTCTTCTCTTTGTTTCGTGAATTGTTCACTCTTATTCAATAGATCTCAATTTTTTGATTATTGCTTTTTCATTTCAAATTTGTTTAAAATGAATTTTATTTTCGTCAAGTTTCTCGTTCCATTGTTGTTCTTAATCGGTTAGTTCTTTTCGATACTCATCATGTCTTTAAATTTTAGGTTCGGCTTTTTATCTCAATACAATAATTCTGTTGTTTATTATTGAATCTTCCGTTTTAAAAAAATTGAATAAAACGCAAATTTCATTAGCTGAACCAATGATCCACGCTGACCGCTTTAAGCTTTCCTTTCATTTTGATGGAAATTCGAAAACAGTAAATCGATTTCCAGAATTTTTTCACTAAGAAACAGCACAAACTTGCATTATATTATTTTCCCAATTTGTTCACAACCTGACAAACCTTTGAGGTTGATGTCATGTATTGTCAGTTCCCAACTTTTTTATCTACATGGTTATGTCTGACTGTCAGTGTTTGCTATATATTCAAAAACGTCAAAACAAAGGTGTAAAATACATTAAGAAACCCTAGGTCAGGCGACCTTCCATTTTAAGCTCCTTTAGATCTATTGGTAGGTAGTATTCTCACACAGAGAGGGCAAAATAAATGCGATGTTTTCAAGTTCGTATTTGGGACCGTAAATTGTCGAGCGACAGGATGATATTACATTAATTCAATATTAGGTCTGTTCGTAAACCCTCACACTGCATACACTCTTTAGGTGGGATTTCCTAGCGACGTCCAGCGTTCGCGGCCCGCCGCTACGTCTGGCAGTTGAAGACACGTATAATGCATTTGTATACAACCGTTTTCCTAGAAGCAGCGCGACTCGACGTCCCAACGTCCAGCCGTCAGCGGCTGCGTCTCGACTGCTCAAAAACATGCCTGGACGCGAACGTAGACTCCAGTCGTTACTGAATTCAAAGCAGAGTGGTTGAATATTATTATTAGAAAATGTCTCAAAAATTCACCCATGACGACGATGAATTATTAATCGATCAAGTTCGTGAATTTGCATGTATCTAGGAGCATGCAAACAAAGATTTTACAGATTATGAAATTCGGGACAATGTGTGGAACCAAATTTCCACAGTTTTTTTTCCAAGAGTGATAAGTGTTTCGAGATTTTGGATAGTTGTTTCGAGATTCATACAGTTCACTTGTCTCTCCGCGCAACGATAATAAAAACATCATGTCATTATCATCCTCTGCTTCTAATGACATTAACGCTAATGAAATATTTCTATTCATCCCGACAACCAGCAATTTTTAGTCAAAATGCAGTCAACTCTGAACAAAAAACACTCTTGCCATGGCAGGTATATGTTTCACCTGAGGGCTACGTTCAGCGGCAGGTCTGGACCACCGTAGTCGGACCACAACAAGCATAATAGTTCTGAACGACATCGGTCCATGGATTTGTATCTGTATATAGTATCTGTCAAAGTTGTCATGAGACAACCCATTTGATATTTGACGTGATTTGAAATTTTAGTGACTAGAGTGATTTAACAACGACGGTGCTAGTTGAAATCAATTCGGTCGACATTCTCAAATATATTGATGATAGATATCGGCCGATGATGGATGATGAACAGCTATGCCAACCTGGAAATGTAATAAGTGTTGAGTGAAAAGTGTACAGAAACAGAAACTTTAGATCATTGGGCAGGTTCTACAAATTTCTGCTGCTCTGAAATTGAAGCCTTCCAGTGAACGATTGGACATGATTGTGTTTGTTCTTGTAAAGCTGGCGATGTATGAAGTATAGCCTACAACTATAGCTTTTACCAATAAAGACAAGGATTGAAGAAACTGTCGTACTTTCCTACAAAACGAATGATGCTGTTGATGGAAAGAAATTCGAACACTTGCGTCTGGGGTTGAGTCTGATGATATAATTTCTATCTTTCACTAGTAATTGATATTAATTGTTTTCCAGCTAACCCATTATCTACCCCACATACATTTTCACAACGGAGCAGGAAGAACAACATTTGAGAAGATTTCATTACTATCAAGAATCTGAAGAGCAAAGTACCTAAGATATATTCATTGTGTAAATTGTATTCCTCTGCAACAGACTCCTTTTCACAACAGCATCGATCTTGATGAAGAATTTACAAATATTCATGATATATAATGATATTAAGAATGAATGAAATGAAGTTTCAAATTATTTATGGTGTTAATCATATTTAAGATTATGTTGAAAAAAAAAACAGAATATAATAGTTGTATTATTTATCATCACTGAACAAGTATGAAAATTCATTGGCATGTTCACAACAATAGAGATCAGTCCTGGTGGAAGTTTCATCAAAACTGGTGAGGGAGGTCTATCTATAGGTAGCATCTATGTTAATATCAGATTCATTCCTGTTACTGGCAATAAGTTAGTTGATATAGATTGAAGACATTTTTATGTTTTGTTCCAAAATGACCACTCTTAGTTTCTTTCAGATCCATTAATCACAGGTTTCACATTTTGGTGCAATGTATACTCAGTGAATTTTGTGAGGGTATTACATATGCTCCACAAAAAATATGGAATCGATTTCCCCTGAAAGTTAAGAACATTATATAAAACACTGAATAGATGAAAAAATAAAAGAAATTACCTTTATAATCTGTTTGTAAGAAATATATCTGCTACAGACAGATGTAAATTTGGGAATGGGCTACCATTTTTTGATATGTTTCTGCCACATTTTGTATGATTCTGCATCTGGTTGAAAAGCTGTGAATCGATACTCTGTGTATCTTCATACTGTTTGAACTGCGGCACAATGCATTATCTCTTGAACTTGCTGGCCATCATGTTATCTCACCCGCGAAGAAATTCGTTCAAATTCAAATTTATTTGCATGTCATAAATTCATGTCAAATATAACTGACGTTTACTGACAGAAACGATGGACTGAACGATTTGGACCATGCTGGGCCTAATTTCAAATGAGACTACGTGGACCACGGTCTGGTCCATAGTCTGACTACGGTCTGAACGAATTGAGACGAATTGACCATGGGTCCGACCTGCCGCTGAACGTAGCCCGGTCTCACAACTACCAAAACGCGGACGCTAGACGATTGAAGCAAATCATGAATCGCCGCTGCCAGTCGTTACTGCTGGACGTCGCGGTGAGCCGCGAACGCTGGACGTCGCTAGAAAATCCCACCACCTTTACACTGAAGTATTACACCGTGTTTGTAAAACATGGTGCATGAGAGTGAAATCACGCAGTTCAAAAACATCGGTATGTTATAGTGCAGCGTGAACAGAGTAATACTTACAATGCGGCAGGAGATAGTGTGACAAGTGAAGTGTGCGATTTATAATGTGGACCCGTGTGGACTCAACATTTATAATGTCGGCCGCGATGTCAGATAAGTAATAATTGATGTTATTTTCACATGATTTGTTTCTGATTTTTTTCTTAGATGGTTCATTCGGTTGCGGGTGGTTCGGTGAGCAATCGAAATCTGATTGATTGCGAAAAGCAAAAGAATATGAGATTGATTGATGGATTCACTCATGAATGTCCTATAGGGAAAGAAATAAATAATCAACAGAAGGAAGGTGAGGTAAATAATGTTCCTGATGATGTGTATGAAAATGGAATGAAACAAGATTTTAATGTTGAAAACTATGCAGCTAAATGGAGAGTCTGGAAAAACAAGAATGCTCCATAAATGTCTCGAGGATTTGTGTGAATAGATTTTTTTAATCGCTTGGAGCGCACAAAAGGGAATCCCTATAATGTTCAAAGAACATCGTGCGTTTCTAGGGAGGATAGGGACAGGAGGTAGGTATTGGAATTTTTTTTAAACAAACACATGATAAGAATAACATTTAAAAAATAGTTCATACCTCTTTCAGGAAATTCTTTTGGGCTTCTTCATCAACACGATACAGCTCTTTAAGTACCATAACTTCGGCTGTATCCCGAGTAGTTACTTTGAAAACTTGGCCAAAAAATCCTTGTCCTAAAAGTTCCCCTTTGACGAGATCTGACGCCCTGAATACTCTTTGTTGTGGCCTGGGTTCCAAAAAAGAGTAAGCTCTCGACAACTCCAGTCCTTTTTTAGAGTTAGGAGATCTATGATAAGAATGAAACAGTATGTAAGTACAAGATTGTTTATAACTCAGATTGTCGACTCTCCTCTCGCCTATCATCAAAATTTAAAAATGAATTAAAGCTGCTGATCATATGATCTCCGCAACAACCGAGTTTTTGCACTGAATTCAAAATTAAATATTTTCATCATCATTCTACATATTCGGATGCAGTTCCGTTTATCTTCAATCATCGGCCACATACTTGCTGAACTACTTGTGAAAAAGTATAGTGACATTTGCTTATGAATATGAATGAATAACAGACCCCTACAAAATACTGTACAGAAGCGGTTTCAGACAAGCAATTTGGATGACATTGTCGGGTTGACGAATAGCGGTCTAGATAGTGGGGTTAAGTCGGTGAATCAGACATATAGCGGTCTAGATAATAGATTATGTCCTAGTAATAAGAAAAGCTGAAGATAGAACATAAAAATGAAGTTATGGTTGTATCAAACAGCACTCACTCATCCAACAATCGACTCATTGAAGAACTCCTCTCTTTATCGAGACACTGCTTATTTTCAGGTTGGTGAATTTTCCGTCTCAACTGTCGTGATCTCGTTCCGCTCATATACCCTTCGTCCTTTCTTCGAAACAACCTCTCTTTGTTTTCAATTCTCACTTTGGCGGCTTTAGGAACACATTTTTCATTGGGAGTTTCGTCGTCTAGTATGGAATGCGATTCAATTTCAGGAGTTTGGGTATTACTAGTGTCGACATCGATATTTATGGATTCTGAGGAAACATAACATTTGGGCTCTGTCGTAGTATCCGCTAAGTTTGGAATGTTCGTATCACTGGAGGTAGTTGTAAGAGGTAACTTGGTATTTGGAACTGGAAATTTCGTGATATTGCTTGGTATTGCTTCCGGATCATGCTCTATCGTCAACTGAAAGATATATTGAATTTTTATTGCATGCTATAGCATCAAGTATTCTAATTTGAAAATAATTCCCATGAGTATTTTTTTATTGAAATAATTAATTTGAAATACACTTGAAGTATTTTGAAATTTAATAGATACTTTTGGAATACAATTGATACTTTTTTAAATTCAACTGACTTATTTGAAATACAATCGATACTTTTTGAAATCAACTTGAATCTATTTGAACTGAAATTGGAACAGGTGGAGTCCTGTAAATAGATCAATTCCACACTGTGCAAACAAGAATATTCTCTGGGCATGTGCCAGAAATAGTTAATTATGTATGAAGGGCGAAAAATAAATGTTTGTGGACTGCAGCATACTACCCGCTGTATCCTCTTTTTCGCCCTAGAAACTAAGGTGCTCTTTACGCCAGCTAATTCAGGCGATAAAGTGCCACTTCACGCCCGGGCATGCATTCAAATATTCAATTAGGACGCTTGAAGAACTACAAATTTCTGAAGATAATTTCCAAATGAATTATCTAATTTAATCTTAGCAGACTATAAACTGAAACAATATTGAAATTAGAAGAATCACCTGTAACACCGTATCTGAATATCTCAGAAGATTTTCAACATTTTCCAACGGCGTGTCTCTCACAGGCAACCCATTAATTTCCAAAATTTTGTCACCAATGTGTAGAGACATCAAGTCATTGTTCACTTCTAACCTGTAGGTAGGAAAAAATATATTTACAAATATTTCAAAATTTTTCACAAATTTACTTTCAACACCACAAAATTTCAATAGTTTTCAAAAGCTGGTAATGCAACATCTAATAATTGTCGTATTTTGAAAAAAATTACGTACCTGAATGCTGGATCAACCCTTTTCAAGATGAAATTGATCTTATACAGGGTGATTCACAAGGAATACGTTAAAACTTAGTAAAAAAGATTACAGTAATAAAAGCAGCTTCTTCATTTACTAGATTTATTATCTGCCGCTCATAAAAATTGTTTGGGGAATTCTATTTTTGGAGATGCTTCCGGTTGAGCCAGAATCGATGAAATAAATATGAAAAAGGCAATTTGGGATTCAGAGATGCCTTCTATTGATGAGCATTCGAAAAATATATAAATTTTGTGGTGATATTACGGTTTGATTATGGAATAAGTGAATCTTCACTTGAAGCTATTTCAAAATGAAAGCATAAAAAGCATATTTTCTTACCACTCAGAATTCGACCTTTTTGTGACATTTTATACTTTCTGAAAGAAATGAAGATGAACGATTCACTTTTGTCAGTTCAAATATGGTGAAGAACCTCAGTTATGTAATCCGCATATTAAAACTTACAGAAGTCGTAGAACAAATTCACTATGATCTATTTTTGCGATGATGTCTTGCATCAGAACTTTTTTCTGATGGAAAATCATTTTGCTAACACAAAAGCTTTTTCAAGTGAAATACTCATACAATGAACTAATCAAAAACTAACCTAACATTCATCTTTGGAAGCAACCAGTAACTCAAAATGAAGTGGTATACTTTATAAAATGAAAACTCAATATAATATCCACAACTTTCATTTGATCAGAGATCAACCAAAAAGGAACATATAGGTACAACTTAAAACATACTGATGAGAAATAAGTGGAACTGACTTTCTCTTTGGAATTTCTAAAAAACATTGAAAATTGCTGAAACTAGGTCGGAACACATTCTAACCACTTTGAGTAAAACATAATCAGGATTCAGAACCGTATTTGAAGAAAAAAATGTGATGATGGTTTCACGAATACGAAACGTCGCGTGGAGAAATTAATATCACCACGTTAAATCTGATGAAAAGTTGCATTGGAAAAGTTGTTTCGGTTATTCTTTATCTCGTAGAAAAAAGTAAAATAGACTTTCCAAACATTCACTTTTTCGATATAACTGAATAGCTAAAAAAAAATTGAAATTTTTGTAGGCCTTTGGAATGATCCTGCGCAACGTTTTTCCTATTCAACCGAATTCTTATCTACTCCCGTTTCCGATATCCACATGCTGTGCAACCTTATCTTGGTCACACAGTATTAGGAAATTTATGTTTTAGAAAATCGGTCAACGGGTTCTAAATTAGGAGGGTGTTGTGAGTTGAAATCATACACATTGTATATGCTTACGAACCTGAATGATTAATATTACCTGTGAGCAGACTCAACTTGCAAGGAGTGATTGCAAAAAATATTACATTATATGAAAACAAATTCAACTGGTCTCATCCCACTAAACATGAAACCTTCCAGAAACATTTCAATCCTACCCTATTGGACTGTTTGAAACATAACCCAGACGTTTTTTTCAGGTTTTTTAAATATTTTTCAATTGCAAGAATGTTTGAATGAAACCAAAATAAAACGTTTCAAGAAAATGCACCTACTTATGTAAAATTTGATGTGTCTCATAGAAAATCACTACGCCATATAAATGTTAACTGTACTCATAATTATATTTCACCTCAACCATATTCAATTTCCAGTAGAGCGAGTATAATACAGGGTGAGTCATGACTAACCAGCCATAGCCTAACGACGGATAGAGGAAGAGGCTCTTATCGATGAAAAAATTCAGGACCGGACTTGATTTTCTGGAAGTGACCTTTGAAATATGAACATAAATAATTCCCAATTGAAATCTGCTTTTACATGTGGAAACATTGTACTCAATATGAGGAATTATCGCTTAGGTGAAAGATTTCTATCCGAATCAGATTTAGGTGTCTACTCATACTACATAAAATATCTTTTGAAGAACTATTGATATGATCTCATTGCATGTGAACTCTCTCAATCAGCAAATTGAATTGTTTGGTGTTTTCACGATTCAGAAAGCACTAAAAAAGATGGCTGTGATAGATGTAAGCAAATGGATTGAAAAAGGTATATTTCATTTCAATAGGGTGAAGCACCTATACATTATTCAATACAAGTTAGAGAATACCTAGACACCCAATTCTCTAATCGCTGGATAGGTCGGGGCTGTCCTCATTCTTGGTCTTCTAGGTCTCCTAACACTATTATACTATTATATATGGACACATTTGAAACGATTGGTATATCAGACTGAAGTCAACAACTGAGGGAGAAGTTACAGATTCAGATATGATCAGAAATAATAGGCAAATTATTCTAAAAACCATGAGAGATTTCCTGAAGAGATGCAGAAAATGTGAAGAAATTGGAGAAGGATATTTCGAGAATCTTCGTTGAAGATTGTTAAGGTATAGACAAAGCTTTTTCGAAAATTATAATTGTTTTGTAGTTTTTTCCAAAAATCAAGTCCAGTCCTGAATTTCTTTATTGGAAAAAACCTATTCTCAACTTTGCTGGTATATCAATATGCAAAAAAAAATATTTCAATGTCGAATGTAGAGAGTAATGTGCCTGGACGAAATCGGAGAAATATTCATCAGTATTTTGTTTGAATTTTTTTTACGAATCGGTCGGTGTACCGTACAAATTGAAAAGCTGCACTTATAGTGTTTTTCCTGATCTTTCTGATTCTAATGAGTTTTTGAAAAATACGATCCAGAAAGTCGAAATTACGACATTTATAAAGAAAATGCATTTCCCAAGTCCGTCTCTGGGATTTTTTCTCCATAGTAGGTCATCTTTTGAAGTGTCAGTAGAGGTAAGTTGTTGATCATTTTCAGACAATAACATCGATACGTTCGTGAAATATCGTTCATCAAAGATTCGCCCCGAATTCAATAGGCAAAATATATTTTTTCACATATACAGGGTGTTTCATAATTGAATGCTGATCCTAAAGGGTGATAATCCTTGGATGGTTTCAAGGAAAATTGTTCATGTGAACATAGGTCCGTAACAGCTTCGTTTCTGAGATACAAAATGTTGAAATTTAACAAAAAAATCAGTTATTCCCCAATATCTCTGAAACCGCTCTGGCTTTTTTCTTCAATTTTAGTACATGCCAAGTATGAATATAAATACATTTTTTCCATGATGGAGGATTTCTTAATTTCCATCAGTGGCGTCCCTGTTAACATACCCTATCATATTTTTCATCAAAATAATGATACGCCACTGTCTTTTTTCCAAATAAATATTATTTTTGTAATCATCCTCTATCTTCTCATAAAAATGGTCTCTTGTCTTTTTTTCGTCCGGCGTACGGTTTTTGAGTTAGAAAATAAAATGCATTCATTTGCTTGTCCCTATTTGATTTTAACTATCAGTCATAATTTCACAATTGTGGTAACCAAAAGATCTAAGCAATATTTTTATAATTTTATGGTACTAATTTTTAAGTTTTTGTAATGAAGAAAAAAGCCAGAGCGGTTTCAGAGATATTGGGGAATAACTGATTTTTTTGTTAAATTTCAACATCCTGTATCTCAGAAACGAAGCTGTTACGGACCTATGTTCACATGAAGAATTTTTCTTAAAATCATCCAAGGATTATCGCCCTTTATGATCAGCATTCAATTATGAAACAACCTGTATATCAACTCACCTTGACTTCCTCTATCCGCCATTAGGCTATGGCTGGTTAGTCATGACTCACCCTGTTAATGTATTTCGTATGTCGAATTTCTTGTTGCTAAGGGAAGGAAGTTATGTGATGGCTGCGCGAGCATCAAGAAACGCGTGCGAGGAGTGCGGGTGGGGAAGGATCGGTACAAGGCCAGTGTGACACCCTCATCCATTCATCTATCAGTCCTTTGCGTGTACGCGAATTGCAAAATACCTAGTCGCCGTTTCCAAATGTGCCGTGGTAGCCAAACCTGATAGTTAATTTGTGATCCATCGTATCCAGTTGCTTTTAGTTTGTGGTGTGAAAAATGGTCATCAGGATTCACAAAGAATTTTATCAAGAATAATTCCAAATTCGAAGGAAATGTAAATATTGGTGAACGGATTACCATTAAAATAAGCTGTTGTTATGAAAGGTTAGGATCCGTCCTTTTAGCTATAACATTATTGGTTGACTGATGTACATTCTTTTCGCCGTTTTGGGATATTGTGTTTCGGGCCAAAACCGATTATAGATGCTTAATGAAAACGCTAATTAGGATATTTTGGACTAGAGTGTGGACTTGATTAGACTATTTGGCTTTGTATTTCCTATGTTTGTGTGGTGGGTACATAATGCCTACTGTTTGTTGAATTAGAATATGTACTCAATATAGATTTGTCTGTTTCTATTGTCTATGTATCTTCATTTCTACACCATATCCACATTCCAACACTGAATAATTCACCCTGTTTGTAGTTTCAAAGCTTGTTTCACTATGTCAAATACGAAAAACCCTTTCATTGTTCCAACTTCCTATAGAGAGTCAGTATTCGGCTTTTTTGGTATCAAAAGTTCGAAATCTTAAAATACTATTCCTATTTTAGACGATCCACGAAGCTAGGAAAAAAATATTTTTGAAAAGTTGATAAAACTATATACAAAGTTGGAAACCACTATTTGAAACGTGTCCATGACAGTTTTGTGGAGACGTGTCCAGGACAGTTCTGTTGAGACGTGTACAGAACGGTTTTCTTGAAATGTGTACGGGTTTTGTTGAAAAATTTCATGAAACTTCACTGAGGTAGGACATTTACATCTTCTAAGACGTTCCTGAAACTTCAGAGAGACTCAATGGAAAGGTTTCAGTTATCCATAACACATTTCTGAAACGTTTCTGATACTGAAATATGTTTAGTGGGATACAATGAACTGTCAATACCAAAGTAGGTATTTCGTAATGATTCATGGGAATTCAAAAAGGGTCGAATTATGAGTGATTCTTTTTGGTGTGTTGACAAAACAACATCATCATCGTATCGATTTAAATTTTCACCATTTATGTCGATAGACTGGACATGATAAGGCAACCGATAATTAAATTGTTAACCCAAATGACCTACTTGACGTACCTATGAGGAGGCAATAAGTAGCAGCATATATTATAAGCAGATGTTAGAAACGCTAAAGCCATTTGAAGAAGCTTCCCTCGAACTCTCCATAGCAACCTAAATAATTAATAAATATTGTTAGCTAGTTACGCTCATCATATTACATTTTTAGCTCGATCTTCTACCATACAGAGTGCAAAAATCCTCAAAACTGTAAAAATGTGTAGAAAATTCTGGTGATTTACACAAAGTGAGATCCCATTGATGTACCACACTTTGACCACCAACCTTGTCCTGTGCCACATTCAAGTGAAAAAAATATTTTTCTACAAACGTCAAAAAATGACAAGGTTCGCGCATTGGTAACAAATTGCGAAGTGACACTTTCTTCAGTTTCCTACGTTACCCCATGATACCTTGCACAAAACAATGCGCGAAGTAAAACAGTGCGCGAAGTACCTACTTCGCGCATTGTTATGAAAAATATATTAGATATTTATATTTCAACTTTATGGTCGTCAATCGAGCAAACATTCACGAAATCATTAATTTCTGAATGTTCAACAATAACTTTATTTTATCTCTTGGAGCGCACGAGAGGAAATTCCTATCATGTTCGTGGAACATCGTGCGTTCCTAGGGAGGACAGGGAGAGGCCTTTCAAGTCAGTTCAACACTATTTTTTATATCAAACTAAGCATATTTTAACTTTTGAACTATATTTTTTGACGTTTGTAGAAAAAATTTTGTTTGCTACACGAGCGCGAAATACTTTGGTCATCTCGACTATTTTTTTAACTCGGCTACGCCTCGTTAAAAAAATCAGATCTTGATCACCAAAGTAGCATTTCGCGCTCTAGATACAAAAATAACTATTATTCACCAATCATTCTTCTGATATTACATATTACTCCATACTCGTTCATTTTCCCCCAGGTGTGTTTAATACACTCCGCTATCGAACTTCACACGCGGGAGAAAATTGATACCTTTGCTCCCTTGATATATAATTAGCTATTTTGCCCATATGCTACGTACTGTATGGATGACACTGCATGTTGAATTCGAGGAAAAAGAATAGCCTATTATTCGCACAGAATGCTAATTCCCCACTCGTATGATTCGCAGCATTCATAATGGTGGGAACTGACTGTCATACCGTGCTCGTTGAATAATATACTACAACTATTTGAGTCACTCATGCATTGTTAACTCAATTTTTACAGTCATTGTTATGTTGAATTGAATAATAATGACAGTGTGCTAATGTGACAGTGTCTTATAAAATTCAATAGATAAATGTTCTGCAACAATGATTTTTGTGAATGGGCGTGTACACCTTAGTAGAACTTTCAACTCAAACCATGTTTATAATGATCCTTTTATACATAAATAACGATTGGCGACATAATTCCATCTAAAAAGTAACTGGAATGTTTTATTTTTGGACATAAATAATAGTACCTTCTGAAAACGGACCCTGTTTATGACGTAGAAACCTCATCTCGCCTGGAACCAATGAGCGTGACCCATAGAGTGACCCATGTGTGACACTTATCACTGTTGCCATATCATCTAAACAAAATATCCGAGAGATCGAAATCGATATTGAAATATCTTTTGATATCAACTACCACAACTGCAGAAAAATATATTCAACTTGTCGATGGTAGGTTGAATCATTAGAATATAAACAATCTCTAAACAACGAAATGTCTCAATTTCAAAACCATTTGCACCATGACAATTTCACAATAATCCAATATATTTCATGAACGCAGCAACATTGCTTTGTTGACCCGTTTCACATGGAGCTGCATTTGCATCGAGTCTCGAATTCCGATTCCGAAGTTATTTATGTCGTATAAAATGAGAAGAGAAGACACGTAATGAAATTAACCTCCAAATCTTGCTTTATATCATATAAATACATAATAATATTATTGATATATTGAATATAAACATGAACGTTGAATCAGGATTTGTAAAAGGCTTATCAGATAATCTACCGAAAATTGATTTGGAAATGGTTAATTATTTTTATGTCTCTAACATACTAGAAAATCTCCACAGTTCCTCAGTGCTGAAATGAGGAATAGAAAATCTGAAAGGTAAGTTCCACAATATTCATTCAATTTTCATTGCTTGTACCTATTATAGTTGCATTGGAAAATTGTTCACCTGAAAGGATATTTAACATCAGAATACCCATCATATGGAGATTCCGAGGGAGAATCCTCATTAAATCAGTCACTGATCGATATGTTTACCTATGCAACAATATGATCAATTGGTATGAAACAATGTTATTCCCAAGACTAGATACTGCTTGCATCTCCCCCTGAATGTTCTTCTAGGAGATGGATCATTCATTCTTCAAGCAATTTCCCTATGAATTTCTGCAAAGCAAAACTACTACTATAATATTGTGTTTACCCAGTGAGGGGCGAGATTTGTTCTCGAAATTCCCAGCTAAATGATGTTTTTTTAATTGCAATTAGGCACAGAACATTTCTCAATCATACTTTTGTCGAAATATTTCAATTTAATATTCGAAAGTTGCAAAAACTTAATATGGGTTAGAATTGATCTTCTTCTTGTTCTTATCATCTATGTCCCAAAAATCAACTTGCCGATTCACCAATCTTGGTGCTTTGGTGAAATCATGTATCATTCATCTCTGTCTGGAATAGTCTTGTTTCATTATTAGGGTTTTGACGTCACATAATCGCCTCGTTTTCAGAGGTCCGAAAAATCGGGGATTTCAATAATTTTGTATAAAACGTAGGGAGCTCACAGCAAGAAACGGTTTGCGGTGGTGAGCTAGTTTGGGTGAGTTCTATCGAATTATGAAATACATTTTTTTTGTTATATAAGCCCATTGTGAATGTATCATTATTCAATACCGAAACTATGCAGAAATTAGTGTATTCGTAGAAAGAGTATACAACTCAAGTTGTGATGCAACCAAGCACTAAGGATTTCTTCCGCTTCATGTATATTATGCGCTTTTCAATGCTTCTTAGGTTTGTAATATACTATAACAATCTTTGCTAGAGGTCCATATGGGTGTACATATGCAATGAATTGTCGCACAACCAACTACAAGTGACCAAATTATCTGAAAATTCTTTCTTCCAGCCTTATAGTATATAGAGCTACCATTATTATTGGTTTTGAAGATTTATTGCACTTGTTTCCTTTAAAAACCTTTATCGAATATACGGGGTGATTCTCGAATATGCTATCAACATAAAGAGTTGAATACTTTTCCATATCTAAAATGTGCCCCTACTTGTTTTTTATTTGTGTAAATTGTAGAACATTACTTTGAGTTAGTCTTTTGAAAATAAGAATGTTGATGAGGCTGGGGTTTTTGTATGATTAGACACAACTTAGTATAGTGGAAACAAAGCAAATGAACACAAAATTTGAATGAATGTGGTAGCATTTATCCAGAATCCCTCTGAATATTTGTATTGTTATATTAGCTGAAAAAATCACACTCACTCTGAAACTGTAAAACACTGGCTGTTACCTCCATGAAAAGTATTCTTCGACAATTTGATACCTTTCTGTCCGCCTGGAATTTCTACAAGTCTAATGGAATGTGGTTTTCTTGTGAATGGAAATCTTGCAGTCTTCTGTAACGGTTGCATCTGCCGTTTGTAACACTGTCCGCTAGAAGAAATATATTTGCATGAACGTTTCTCGATTTAAAACCATTGAAATTTCATTATCTTTCATTATGTGATATTAATCACCCAATTGCTTCAACACTCAGCTGATAACAAATTTCAAGGATATCATCACTCACTATGATATCAAGATTTTGACCACTGGATTTTGACCGAATATCCTTCTGACATTGTCAAATGCCTTATAATTTTCTGTCAAATTTCTCGAGCAAATTTGTCGGTAACTGACTTTGGTTAGAGTCACTGGATGGTATTAGTTTGATAAGAGTTCGGACGATGATGGAAGTAATTACTGATGCGCTTTTGTTTCAGAAATTTTACTGGACCTCTCGAGAACAGCGAGAGCAATGTTTCCGTCGATCTTCTAAAAGATGGCGACATTGCACAATAATTATGACATCGGTCAATTTCTCAAATTGCCGCAGATTTTTCGAATTCAGATTGAAATAATCCTACTGTTACATATGTTCCGCGTACCTAAATTGCCATTTACCATTTTATTTCCACTCGTCACAGCAGCAATTGCAGCATTACCATCTAGCGGAAAAATGTAGAATCAACGTCTCGCTCGAGGTGACGTAGAGAAATCATAGTAGGCGGTCGAGTGATTTTTCTCAAGTTCTCAATACGTAAAAATGGCCGACTACGCACACCATCTACTGTCGGATGCGGATATATCTCCCTTAATACACATTTTGGGCCATTAATCAATTCATCATACTATACTTATTTTTCAATGTACCGGGTGAACAACTAAAAACGGCTGTCGGCCATATCTCAGCAACGAATAATGATACAAGTTTGAGATAGAATGAATCTAATGGTATGCATATCATTATATGAGAGAAACTAAATCTTAACAGACCAACGAAAACACCAACATGATAGCTTTTCGCCAACAGAAGATATTAACTATCGAACTCGGTCTCTAGAAGGCTAACCACTTATCTTCTTGGAATTCTTCCTGTCTACCATAAGATGAGGTTGCCAAAAGTTGTGCATTCAGAGGGTCATACCAACGGCCTTTGAAAATTTTCAATTTTTTTTTAGTTTTTCAGTTATACCGAAAAAAGTGAATTTTTGAAAAGTCTATTTCAGTTTTTTTTTACGTTATTATTAGAGATAAAGAATAACCGAAAAAATTTTTCCATTGCAACTTTTCATGAGGTTTAAGGTGGTGATATTGATTTCTTTACGCGACGTTTCATATTCGTAGATCCATCATCAACTTTTATTTTCAGATACGGTCCTGATTATGTATTCACAGATTCTGAAAGCTTCTTTATTCTGAATTCAACCATGTATTATACATGATGGTTTAAATGTGTTTCGACCTAGTTTTTGCCATCATCAATGTTTTTTAGGAATTCCAAAGAGAAAATACCATCAGTTCCACTAATTTATGATCAGTATGTAATAAGTTGTACCTATACGTTCCTTTTTGGCTGATGGCTGATCTTTGATCAAATGAAAATTGTGGATATAAAATCGGGTTTTCATTTTATAAAGTATACCAATTCATTTTGAGTTACTGGTTGCTTTAATACTGAAAAGTAAAAAGAGAATATTCCACAAATTATTCAATGCAGTGTTTCAAATTGTTTCATGTTAATGGATTTTTACACGAATTACGTTGATGACGTAACTTTGACAACACGGACAGTAATTCAAAAAATTAACATTCATAACAAATATTCAAAATTATTATATATTTCCTAAACAAATAATATATCCTCTTCTTACAGTTACTTCTAAGACATTGAATGCTTCGATAACACTATTCCTTATTAGTTCTTCTTCGCTATCAAAATTATTTGAGTAAACAAATTTTTTAACGTACCTATCCTCAAAGAAAAAATCTAGCGGTGTCCAATCAGGCGATCGCTTCGGCCAAGTGACTGTAGAATGAGTTTAGTTATCAAGGTATCTCCTGTAAGAATCCATCAACATGAAACAATGTGAAGCGCTGCATTGAAAAATTCATGATTTTTCCTAGTTTTCATTATTAAATAACTATTCCATCAATATTTGACACTAAATGATCAGAAATAAGTGTATTTGATGGAAATTCTTTGGAATTTCGAAAAAACATTGAAGATGGCTGAAACTAGGTCCAAACACAATCAAACCACTTTGAGTAACACATGGTTGAATTCAGATTAAAAAAGCTATCAGAATATGCCAACAAATAATCAGGACAGTATTTAAATAAAAAGTTGATGATGGTTCTACGAATACGAAACGTCGCGTAGAGAAATGAATATGAACGTAAAATCTCATAAAAATTGCTATGGAAAAGTATCCTTAATTTTTATGCACATCTATTAATAAGGAAGAAAAAAAATAGATTTTCAAAAATTTACTTTTTGCGATATAACTAAATTTTTTTTAAAATTTTTGAATGCCGTTGGTATGACCCTTTGAATGCGCCACTTTTTTCCCATTTAACCGAATTCGTATCTCCTCCCGTTTCCGAGATCCCCATGCTGTGCAACCTTGTCTTGGTCACACTGTATAAACTCAAAATATGTTGCTTTATAAAATCAAGCACATAAGTTCCAAGATAAGAAATTGAGTGACCTATTATAGCAGCAACTTGAACAAAGACTATTGACATTTCCAAGTTTCGTGATGTATGTTGCAAACACCGTGTAAAATGATTAGTACTCACCAATATAATTTGGACCTCTCAAGAAGAGCATATGAGTCCCCATCTCCAATGAAGGCACCACAAGAGCCACAGCAGAAGCATTCTGGGTGAAACTTGTGTTCACCTGCTACCATGACAGGTCCTGTTATTATCTATAAAAAAAAGGAGATACACCCTGGATGATCAAATGTAAGCTCTTTCCTCCTCATAGCATAATAAGCAAGTCGATGAATCCATAGATAGAGTGAACCCAATTAGAAAAGTACATGATTTTTTCTAGATGCGTGCGTGATTTACTCTAGAGTTCCTAAATGTTCTTGACACTGCTGTTCTGACTTTTTTTGGATATCAGAGTACGGACACTATGACAAGCACTGACAATCAAACATAACCACAAATAAATTGATGGAAAAAGCAGGAACTGACAATACTCGGAAGTACATGACATAAATATCGAAGGTTTGACAAATTGAGAGAATTAGGAGAAAGATGCGAGTTTGTGCATTTTCTAACCGTGAGAACACGGGATAACGTAATTCTACAAAAATGGAAACAGAATATGATGCGACCGGCATGGAATATAGGTTCAGGTCACAAAATTTGCCAGGTATTCAAATTCCTTAGCTTAGTAGGGTATATAACATTTTTCAACGCATTTTTATCAGGTACATTTCAGTGCGGAAGATTTGATGTTGAAGAATGGTATCGTATTGAGAGAAAGAGCCGAACCCACAATTTATAAACTGAGCGAGTATAGAAAAAATTCCAATTTAGAACCAACAAGAAACGAAAAACTTGCAGTTAATGAAATTTATTTCGAACATATTTTGGAAGAAAAAGGCATGAGAATCGAATTTTCAGAGCAAGAATATTGAAAAATCCAAGGTTTACGAGTGGAAGAGAGTGAGGAATTCAGGAAACAAATAGAATAAAAAAATAGATACTTGGAAAATAAGTCTGAATGAGAATGTACATGCGTAGTTGAGAAGTGCTAAACGACTACATAGCTCCTAGTGGATTTTGAACCACTTCTTGGGTACTAAGATACGAGCAAGATATTATCAGAGCACAGAACAAGAACGCTTAATGAGTGCACCATTCATGTTAGGTATTGAAAATGATCTTCCGATGGCCGGGTTCAAACCAACAATCCCCTTTCGTAATGTGAACGGCGATCTATAGTGAGTCGAGCGCTGAAGTCCATTTATACCTACTTCGGAATGTCTTGGAGAATCTTTATTATTTATCCTAACTGAAATCGGCTGTTTTTGTTCATTTATTAATCAGTTTTTACCCCATTCTGAACTTTTGTGATGAAAAAATATCCAACTGAACGTATATTTATACCTACATATAAGAGACTTATTCCATGGGAATAGTATATGTATTTTGTTGGTATATATGTACATACCAACTTGAAATCGACCTCCATTGAGGTCCTTCAGCCTTATCATTCAATATTTAGAGAAGAAATAATTTTTTAATCAATTTATCGTATCCTTTTACCCACTCGAGGAGATGCTATGCACTCTCATACAAAATAAAGATAGAGAAAAATATATGGTTGTACTCGTCCCAGGACTTGTGGAGGAAGGAAGATGCGAGGATCCTTTATCTAAGCGGAAAACATATTCTTGTCCTTGTCTGGCAAAACAGATGATTTGATTCAAAATCGTTTGTGGTTATGTTTGATTGTCACTGCTTGTCTAGTGTCCGTACTCTGATATGCAAAAAAAGGTCGAAACAGCAGTGTCAAGTACATTTAGGAACTCTAATTTACTCTATACCCGCACGCAATTTAGTTTGGGAAGTGTAATTTTCCCGCAACAGTGCGAGAATTTTTTTCCCACACTAGTTCGGCAGGAACAATGATATGATATTATCGCAAAATATAAGTCGTTGGTGATGGGATATGGAAGTTTAAGCTTGTGTGTTGCAGTATCAAGTATGTTGATTGCATCCATCAAATTGCACTATTCATTGTGAAAATGGAGAAATACTGCATGATAAAAATTGATTTTCATAAAAATCCCCCTATAGACTTAGATTGATCTGATGTGGGAAACAATTATTGTTGTCATGCCAATCAGTTTGTAATGGGCGTGTACACCTTAGTAGAACTTTTAACTCAAACCATGTTTATAATGATCCTTTTATACATAAATAATGATTGACGACATAATTCGATCGAAAAATTAACTGGAATGTTTCATTTTTGGACATAAATAATAGTACTTTCTGAAAACGGACCCTCTTATGACGTAGAAATCTCATCTCGCCATAGTTAAAAGAAAATACCAAACGCCCGACGGAGACTGAGGCAACTGATATATTAGTTCTTTCAACTGTGATCTCGCGCTAATTCACTCTGTCAGAAATCATGTATCATTCGTCTCTGTCTGGAATAGTCTTGTTTCCGTATTAGGGTTTTGACGTCACATCATCGCCTCGTTTTTAGAGGTCGAAAAATCGGGGATTTCAATAATTTTTTATAAAACGTAGGGAGCTCACAGCAAGAAATGGTTTGCGGTGGTGAGCTAGTTTGGGTGAGTTCTATCGATTTATGAAATACATTTTTTTTGTGATATAAGCCCATTGTCGGAGTGACCGACACAGCGTTACTGTCATTTTCGATTCAGTAGAATTGCCACAATGGATCATACATGTGATCAAAAACTGCCAGCTACATATGCGATACAGATGCGTTATTGCCAACGAAGGAAGGTATGAGAAGCAATACAGGCGATTCATTATATGGTCCAACAATAAAAAATGAAAACACCAAATGAAGAAGACTTTGGGTTTCTTCATCTGAGAAGTATTTCAGGCTGAAACCTAGAGGCCAAACACCTTATGGGCATGCTGGCTTCCGCAATGAATCTACATAATGCGTCAAACTGGTACATTCACAATAGGTATTACTAATAATTAGTAGATAGAGAATATATTACACTTGTTAAATCTCTGGTAGTAGTCCATGCTCAAATTGGAGGTGATGAGATAATTAAGAGAACAAACTCAAAGTCTCGCTCCAAGTAAATTTTAATCAAATCATATGTGCTACATGTTTCGACTCCTAGGAGTCATCATCAGGCTAAAATACAAAACTTATGAATAAAAGAAGTTCCATCACTATTGGAAAATGGGTGACATACCTTGCTAGGTAGGAGGAGAAAGGAAACTATAAAATTGATGACATAGTTCGTAAGGGTTTTAGGTCCCAAATAATTTTAAAAAACATTTTTAAATTTTGGTCATACTTGCGCCATTTGCTGTACACTATGTTTATCTGATCCAAAAAGAAGCATCTTAAGAAAAATGGTTATCTGGGGGTTCAAAAAACCCTTACGAACTATGTCATCAATTTTATAGTTTCCTTTCTCCTCCTACCTAGCAAGGTATGTCACCCATTTTCCAATAGTGATGGAACTTCTTTTATTTATAAGTGTTGTATTTTAGCCTGATGATGACTCCTAGGAGTCGAAACATGTAGCACATATGATTTGATTAAAATTTACTTGGAGCGAGACTTTGAGTTTGTTCTCTTACTTATTACACTTGTTAGTTGGTCCTATTTGCATGAATAATTAATTGAACAGATGAATTAATTTATCACGTTTGTAAAAAATATATTGTTCCTAACTAAAGGGGAAAGTGTCTTTCCCACACTCGACTGCTTGCCCGAACTCCGCTTCGCCTCGGAAAGTATCACTTTCCGCACTTGTTAGGAAAGTTACTAGCACCTCATCGTGCGCAGGGCAGTGGAATGCGTTCAGACAGTCCAATTTTAAATTTTAAGGCGAGGTCGGTAGTTGACAGGAGCGTTCTTTAACCTGCTAGATCTACCTGAATTTATGCGTGCGCCAGTTAAAAACAGTCATTCCCGCTAAAATGAGTACCTTTCATAATATACAGGATGCCCCTTCATTAGCCTGCCACACGTCACCAGCAGCTTCTTCGACAAAAAATAGGAGGAAAAGTTCCAATAAACATGAGTCGAACAATTACTCCTAAGGGAGCTACAGCCTCCTTAAAGGGAGCTCCTGAACATTATATTTCCTGAATATTTCCGAAACACCATGAGATAAAATTATTCAATTTCTGTACAAGAACTAAACTTTCTATTCCCAATGCAGTGAAAATAAAATCATTCCAAAATTTCATTCTGGAGTGTATAATACAGGGTGAAACTGCATTAAATATTACTCTAACATTTTTATATGCATATTTTTCGGATTATGAAAATCTACACCTCTTTACAGAAAAAAAGTGCTGTGTTCCGTATCAATCAGATGTATTATGTTCTAGTAAAAATTGATTTAAAAATATTATCAAATCTTACACCATATGCATACAATTGCAATGAATCGTAGTGGCTATGAGAAAAATGTGGAAAAAATTGAGCAGGTGTAAAATCTCAAAAAAATGGAACTGTATAGAAAATCTGTGGTTCGAAATTAAGACTGTTTTTCCCAATATGGTGGCAACTGATACACAAATAATTGAAAATCGAACAGTTAGGACCGCAATGTGGCTACAAGAAAGCGAGCGGCCGGCGTACCTCAGTGCTTCGATGCTTCAATATCGATTCACGTCGAGGTAACGATCGTGGGTTCGAGTCCCACGAACGCAGACTTTTTCTGATGGCCTAAGAAAGTGTTTGGGATCACACGTTAAAAGGTAAGGCCCCCGTCATTCCTTGCTCGCACAAGACTTTCGAAGACTTCTGAGGGTTGCTCGTAAGGGGGCAACCGAATGACGGATAGAACAATTTTAGAACAATTTTTTTTAGAAACATAAACTTACCCCTGGAATCGCCCTGGACACTATGGAAATTTTCTTGAACTAGCCACAATAATATATTGAACTGTTCATCAATAATAAATTATTGATAGGTGCGATAATCAAACGGTAGGTTGATTATTAACAAAGCGTTCTTGGTTCGCCAAAAAAAGAAATGGAATGAAAAGCGCGGTTTGATCACACTATTTTTCAATAGAACCGAACCGGTCGAGAACATCGTGAGTTTCTGCTCAATTGCTTCTATATACGCGTTTCTTCTCGGGCGAGGTCGAGTCTCAGATGTTTTTGTTATCTGCTAAAGACCGAAAAAAGCCACATGGGCGATCTCGTCGAAAACATTGCAATGTTACAGGGTGATTCTAGAGTGAACAGTAGGTTGTTTTCATCGTCTTCCTATGTTACCCGCCTTTGTGAAATTGTTTGGTGAAAAGAAAGTATTTGATTTTTTTGATAGCCACAATGATTTGAAAATTGTCGACGTCAGATGTAACAATATTTTCAAATGGATTTCAGTTGAAAATTATATATCTGATCGATACGAAACAAGAGCACCTCTCTTTTTTCTGAAGAGGTGTAGATTTTCATAATACGAGATTACATTGTCGAAAAATGTGCATACTAAAACGTTTGAGTAATGTTTAATGCAGTCTCACCCTGTATTATACACTCCTGAATGAAATTTTGGAATTATTTTATTTTCACTGCATTGGGCATAAAGAATTTAGATCTTCTACCAAATCGCATAATTTCATCACATGGCGTTTCGGAAATATTCAGGAAATATCATCTTCAGGAACCACCTTTAAGAGATCCGTGGCTCCCTCAGGGAGACATTTTTCGACTCGTGTTCATTGGAACTTTTCTTCCTATTTTTGATCGTAGAAGCCGCTGGTAAAGTTTGGTCCAGATTTCGGTATGAAGATCACACTCACAAGCTTGCAGCTACCTTGTGGTTAAGCTAGTCTTGTAGTTTACATTATTATGGCACAAAGTATTCCCCGCCCTGTTGAGGAGGAATTATTTCCTGTTATATTTACCTGACTACATTGCTGACAAGCTTCCCCATATTTGGTCCAATAATCATCTTTACAAAACAGTAATCCATCCTTCTCAAAATACCAGTTTGATAAAGCTGCATCACATGCAGAGCATCTGAAGAATGAAAACAAAACAACAATTATAGGGGGGTGTGAAATGAACTAAGATATCAAATATAACATTGATCACAGGTGCAATATTGACTGACATTATCAAACCGAAAACCGTAACTGTTTATAATAGGTATACATAAACAAATATTAATAACAAATAATAAGAAAATTTCAATATTTGCTGATGACCTAAAAATATTTAGTGTTGTTCAAAAGTTCACTGTATCGTACTGCAGAATAGTCTGGATAGTTTCTCACTTGACTGTCGGATGAACAAAATGTGTATCAATCCTCAGAAATGTAAAGTTATCAATTTTCATCGAACAGTTCAAACAGTGACCTAAAAGTACTTTCTTGTCAATGAATAAACACAAAAAGCTCAAAGCCATTTCCACACAATGTTCATGAAATAAACAACAATGGTAGATTTCGGAAGAAAAACAACAACTTTCCTGGCTAATTCCACGCAGAACATTGAATTACATCCTCCCGAAATCTATGCATCGACAATACAAAAAGATCAAGGTCATTTCCACACAATGTTCATAAAATGAACAACAGTGGTAGATTTCGTTTATACGAGTCGATGCATAGATTTCGGGAGGATGTAATTCAATGTTCTGCGTGGCATTAGCCAGGAAAGTAGTTGTTTTTCTCCCGAAATCTACCATGTTTTTCAATTTATGAACATTGTGTGGAAATGACTTTGAACTTTTTGTATTTATTTAACATTTCATTCCACTTTGAGCAGTTGTAATTACGCCAGTAGGGCAACCAGCCACTCAATCCGTATGGGAATTTTGGTTTTGGAGTGTTCCTTTACTTCTTTCCTACTCAGATGGCGTTACTCTCATATCGTCTATGGAGGACGCCTCAGAGGGAATATAATGCCAACTTGATTTTTGTTTGGCTAGGCTACGCTTAGTTGGCGGTCTTAGGACTGCTGGCTGGAGACTGCCCTGAACTGATGAGAATCAAAGAGCTCGAAACCGGTCTGTAGGTGTCTAGCGTGGCCTGACTACATCGAAATCATTAGGCATTCAGGAAAGAATCACTTGTATCAGTATTCGTTTATACGAGTCGATGCATAGATATCGGGAGGATGAAATTCAATGTTCTGCGTGGCATTAGCTAGGAAAGTAGTTGTTTTCCTCCCGAAATCTACCATTGTTGTTCATTTTATGAACATTGTGTGGAAATGATTTCGAGCTTTTTGTATTTATTTAACATTTCATTCCACTTTGAGCATTGTGGATATTTCGTAGTTTTCTTGTCAATGCTGGAATTGAAAAAGTTACTTGCGCTTAGGCAGCTTGGTTTCATAAAAAGACATTCTCAATTTTTTTTCACATAAATACATTGAAGATTTTATTTTCCTCATAAGTTAGGTCTCATCTTGAAGATGCATTAGTGATTCGGTTCCCTCATGGTATACTCTTGTTCATATCCAGATACTTGAAAGAGAAGAATTCTTAAGTGAATATGTAATAATATCATTTTATTGTTTAGTTAGTTTTCAGAAACCAGCATGTCAGTGCTGCTTTGGAAAGCCTTTTTTGGATAGTGCTGTTATTTCAAATAATTTAAAACTGTGACTGTAACCATTGCTGCATTATTCGAATAAAGTTCTTTAAAAAAAAAGTATGAGTATGCCATACTCCTATTTGAATATGCTCATTTCAATGGATATGATCTGGGATATAATCGAACGTAGAGAAAATATTGACATTTGATTTACAAAATGTTGAATACTTTGATCGGCTCCTGAACTCTTAGAGCAAGAGAAATTATACGTTCCATGACGACCTTTGCTGCGTGGAAATAGCAGCTTTGCCTTGGAAGCACATATGATACAAACGTAAAAGGATGATAAAGATTATTGAGACAGGCAAATCTACAAAATAAAACAATCGATTTCTTCAGTGTGTTATTATGGAAATTGAGCCATTACATAGCCTGTTGTTTGTGTTAATTTGTAGAAAACTGTTTTAACTTTTTAGTTTTATTTTTCGACCAGTGTTGTTCTTTTTTAATATGTTTTATACAGGATGTTTCGTATTATGTGGGTTGCACTTCAAGAGGTGATAGGGCATCTCAAGAAAATAAAAAAGTTCCCATAAACAAAAATCGTAGAATGCTTGCAAATTGCATCCTCTTTCATATTTTCGAATAAAATTTCGAAAAGTTTCACCGCCACCCATGTGAATGAACGAAGATGTTTTTCACGCTCTGTTACCTGCTAATAACTTTCCTTTGAGAATCTCATTGATCTATTAATATTGAACTCCTGGTTGGGTATAGTTTTCTCCACCATGCTAATTGCATTGTGAATGTGATATTACAAGTTATTTTCATTCGATTTGAATTTTCAGTGTAAATTTATCTACTAAAAGACTTTGGTGACCAAAATTCACCAATCCACAAGTGTGTTAGAGCAAGTTTTTTATTTGTATTTGAAGAACGATAATAAATTTGACGCGTTGACATTTCCAATGGAAAATTTATCGCGCCTAAAAAATTTTGAATAACAATAATTTTGACGCGTTGAAATTTCCAATCGAAAATTTATCGCGCCTAAAAAATATGTAGAGAATTTTCTCATTTTTGCATTAATTTTAATGTTTTGTACAGAACGGTAAGGTAATGGTGGATCTCATAGAGTATATATTATATTTTTATATCTTTGGATAATTTTGACTTTTGCGTATTTCAAAAGGTTACTCAATCAATTACACTTTGCAGGTACCCACTCGCCTTGTCAAAATCCACAGGTCTACGGCCGGGATCACCAGAAAGCTAAGGTGCATAATTAAATGTACACTATACAGCTATTATAATACTATAGGTACTGCCGCACAAGCAAGCGGGAAGCAGAAACAGAAAGAACAACCGCGTGTGCGCTATCGTAGGTACTCACAGTCACAGGTAGGTAACCTGCAAAACCCACCTGTCCTCTCAGTGTACTATGGGTTGCCTAAACACCTTAGGAAGATATCGCCACAATAGATAAGAAATATTTTCTTTCATATTCTGTCTGCTAGACCACAAATACCAAACATGCTTGGAAACAGCTCATTTTTATTACTCTAAACATGTAGCAAACTACGGGGTTTTACATTTAAACCAATTGCCGCTAGACAATAAGTATTTTTGATAATATTGTTAATTTACCTAATAAAGAATGTTACGCGTTACTTTATGAGCACACACAAAACTATTGGTATTTTTGTCCACCCTGTACCAATTGGTATCAACATGTGTTACATTTTTGGAAACAGCTCAGCTAGAGTAATCCGAAAATTGAGACAAAATGGGGGTGTTCCATCAAGAAAAAAATGACGGTGACGTCATTACTCGAACGTAATTTACCCTGTATATTAGATTATTATTTTAGAATACGGTAAATTAACATAAAAAATCGACGTGTTTCAGGATTATTTCTTAAAATGACCTGTTGAGCTAAAAATGAATACTTTACGGACACACTGTATAATGTTTTCTATCTTCTAATGAGAACAAACGTAAATCCCTCTAATGTTCTAGGTAGGTACATTATGCGTAGGTACCTAGGAACTATATGGTAATTATGATATGAGCTGTTATCATGTCTTTATATTAATTGTTGTTAATTTACATTTCCGCACTACTAATATGCCGGTTTTACACATGACATGACTCCCATTATTTCTAAAATAAAAAATATTCACTGGTTCTGTAGACATTTCAACATAAGTACTGAAATTTGATTGGGGACCATGAATCACGAATACTACCTGACTTACCTGAAACAGTCCATATGCCATTCTTGACCCAGTGCAGAAATGAATTCATCTTCATCTATTACATTTAAACATCCGGAACAAACATTTTCTAATGGAGTTACTTCAGCTTCTGTAATCAAAATTAGTCATTAGCTTTAGTCCCGGAATGTCCCTAAGAAGGAAGATGAACCAAAAACCTTTGAAAATTTGTTTCTTTTCACAATCATCAGCCGAACACCTCAACTATTTTTTAATTTGCACCCCCTAATAATTTATTTCATCAAAGTTTAATCTCCAAATTATTTTGAACATAATGGTGTATCACACCTCTCATTTCAACCACGTTTTTCTCGCAGAAAAATCATTCACTACTGGTCGCCATTGTGAAATGTGAAGTGAATAATCATGCCATGCGTATTGTAGTGTATCCCAATTGATAATAAGTAAACTGGAATCCTGGACTACTGCTGCCTACAGGGTGCGCCACCTATTATGCTCCTTCAGTTTCCTTCTTTTTTGTACCTGTCTCTTAAAAACAATTTTTCTTTTCCAGACTTCCTGACCTGAGATCATCTGGAAGAACATTATACAACCCGTGTAAAGGGGATATAAAATATATTTTCTTTTACGAGTGTGTTAATCATGAAACTCTTTATTTGTAATGAAGTCAACTTCAGTCTTCCACACATAAACTAGTAATTCAAGAATATATAGGGTGAGTCAAAAATGTGTACGGAGCTTTCTGGGGATGATAGTACATTGAAAAATAAGTGTAGTTTGATATATAAACTTATAGCCCAAAATGCATGTTAAGGGAGATACATCCTTCCAAAGTTGATAATATTAAAATAATTTCTCCGCATAACTTCTAAGCGATGAAAGCCACCCGATTGAAATGTTGTGAATGAATGTATGTTGTCAAAATACATTTTTTCGTTACACTTCCACATTTCTAATATTGTTATACAGGGTGTTTTCAGAGGATGAGTCATGATTTTTTGAAGACAACTTTTTTCCCTGTATTATTTTCGGTAAAACAACAGGAGCATTTGATAAAGCGAAGAAAATTACATAAAAAAGGTACTCTTATTCAAATTCGAAATATTGAACCGTTCTCGAGATATTTGAGTTTTTGTAGTAACATGATATCAGCAGATCAATTCTTCACGAGAATCATCGGTAACGATATTATACGATATTATAGCACGCCATGATGAATAATTTTATTGAAAAGTAATATTCTCAGATATATTTATGAACACAAAAAAAATGGATATTGTATATACAGGGTGTTTTATGAGAAGACTCACATAGCCCCGAGACGAGTTGATGTATACAGGGTGTTCCAAAATTAGCCTGCCAAACTTCACCATCGGTTTCTAGGATAAAAAATAGGAAGGAAAGTTTCAATGAACATGGGACGAGAAGTGTCTCCTAAAGGAGCTACGGCCCCCTGAAAGGGGGCTCCTGAAGATGATATTTCTTGAATATTTCCGAAACCCCATGTGATATAAAGATGCAATTTGGTACAAGAACTATACTTTCCACGCCCAATGCAGTGAAAATTACATTTAATATTGGTCAACATTTTTTGTATGAATATTTTTCGAAAATGTAATCTTGGATTATGGAAATCCACATTATTTCACAAAAAAAAGGTGCTCTTGTTCCGCATCGATCAGTTGTATCATTTTCGAGTGAAACCGATTTAAAAATATTAATACACTCAAATCTTATGGATAACGTGTCCAATTTTCGAATCATAGTAGCCATAAAAAAATCAACTACATTCTTTTCACCAAATAATCTCATGAAAGCGTGAAAGATAGGAAAATGATGTTAAAAAAACTACTTCAATTTATGTGCATTTTTTTTTTCATTTTCACTACGACTCATTGCAATGTTATGCATAATATCTGAGATGTAACAATATTTTTGAATTGCTTTTACTCGATAATGATACATCTGATCGATGCGGAACAAGAGCACCTTTTTTTTGTGAAATGATATGAATTTTCATAATCCGAGATTAAATTGTCGAAAAATATGCATAAAAAAATTTTTGAGCAATATTTAATGTAGTCCACCCTGTATTATACACTCCTGAGTGAAATTTTGAAATGATTTCAGTTTCACTGCATTGGGCATGGAAAGTTCAGTTCTTGTAGCAAATTGCATCTTTTTATCACATGGAGTTTCGGAAATACTCAAGAAATATCATCTTCAGGAGCCCCCTTTCAGGGGGCCATAGCTCCCTTAGGAGACATTTCTCGTCTCATATTCATTGAAACTTTCCTTTCTATTTTTGATCGTAGAAGCCGCTGGTGAAGTTTGGCAGGCTAATTTTGGGACACCCTACATGAAAACATTTTTTGACCTTCCATAACGAAGATACAGGGTATTATGTGAAATTGCTATATAACTTTGATGGCCGATATTACAGAAATGATTCGTCGTAATCTGCTGAAATTTGGCAGCGACGTATCTTTACTGAAACTATTCAAAATAACATATTATGAAAAAGAATATCCAGGTCCGGACTTGGGAAAATTTTATGTTTCATTGTTTTGTCAAAAAAGTTCACTTTGTGACCACTTTTCTCGAAAAATTTCATCAGATTCAGAAAGATCAGACAAAAGTCTATGAAAACTGCTCTTCAATTTACACGGCACACTTTGATCAGTTCAATAAAAAAATATGGAACGCAATGCTACGAGAAATGCCGAAGCTGTCAAATTGCATGGTGTTAACATAGTGTATTGTAGATTAGAGTTTATTTTTTTTAAGGAAGTTTTTGATTTATTTATTGAATTATGTTATTTTCTTCATTTCAGATGGTAGCAGATTACATAATTTAGTATGAAAGAGACTCAATGATTCAAAATTGAGGCAAATCGGATATTAGGCAACCCCCGCAATATCATTCTATTATTCTAAATAAATTCTGAAAGGGGACATAGGTTGAATAATATGTATCACGTAAATAAATACATTCAAAGTTAGTAAGTATGCATAATATTTATATAAAATGAACAATTTCACTGTAAATGAAAAGAATAACTGCTTATGAATTGAAATACATAAATACACTTAAATTATCACTTGATATTTATTGACATATTTATGTATCCATGTCAACTCACGGAAACATTAATTATCCATATCAATATAATATTATATACAGGGCCCTCACAGGGCCACCATCCATAGCTTCTGATCTGGGGTGATGAAAAATAGGTTGATTTAGATAGGGGGCAGTAAAATACCAGTATAAATTGAATTCTATGTTGATCCCCTTCACCACCAGAAACCCCTACTTTGGAATCATCTGCCAATGGAAGTATTCCCAAGAACTTAACCCTCAAAAGTTCAAAATAAATTCCAACTCCTCTCCCTATCCTCCCTATAGGTATCCAGGTTGTTCCATGAACATTATAGGAATTTCATGTGCTCCAAGAGATGAAAAAACAGCTTTACTTCTATAAAACTATAAAATTCAAAGTCTAGCAATAACCAAATCAACTAGGTATTGTGTCTATACCTACATATATCAGAGGTACATGTCCATTATAGTATCAAGAGGGAAATTGAAAAAGGTTAGTTACAGCCGAAAATTGTGTAAATTTTCATTAAAGATAGGTATAATTAGATAATTTTTTGTTGGGTTACATGAAAACAATGGTAACTAAAATTCCGCCAGAAAAAATTGATGCACTCAAACTAAGAACTTCAAAATGTAGACAAATCATTGGGAAAAAGTTTCAAAAAGTTCCTCAAGAATTCTATAATAGGCTGTTTCTATTGAGTACAGAATATTGGAGCATATATTTTGAATAATTGCTTCAAATACCAGTAATACCACAGAAGAAAATACTTAAGAAAATATGAGCACCTCCATTCTATTTATCATTATTTTCAATGTTGTGTATTCATCCACAGGCTTTCATCATTTTGTTTTCTACTTTTTTTAATTTGGCTATCTGCAAAAGCATGTTTCTTTAGTTATTCTATTTACAATCACATTCAAAACCTTGCCGCGGATAGAAAATAGGAAATCTTGTGCTGTAAGATTTTGATTCTGTTACAGAATAACATGATCAAAGATGAAACAAATCATTTTTTTCTACAAACGTCAAAAAACGACAAGGTTTGCGCATTGATAACAAATTGTGAAGTGACACTTTTTTCAGTTTCCTACATTACCATGATACCTTGCACAAAACAATGTATGAAGTAAAACAGTGCTGGAAGTAGGTACTTTGGCTATATTCCGAATTCAACTGACAGTACTGAATCTGCTGACTTTTCATTCCGAAATCAATAAGATTGACTGAAAGTGACAGATACTCCTGAGCAGATATACTATTCATTCCATATATTTCGACTGAACATTCTGCTGAAATTGCTGACTATCAAAAGGTAGTGTGGCTTCAGTGAACTGTCATTATTTTTGAGGGGAAAGGAATGACACATTCCTTCCCGTTGTTTTTCAAACATCAAGTCTTGGCTCATCAATAATACATTAATAATATCATTTTGATATCAGAAAATGCCTGTTATTTATTTAGCTCAAGCAGGAGCATCTGCCAGATCAATGACAACTGACAAATTTCACCAGCTGATCAACTGCTGCTGATTATTGATGAAAACGTGTTCCGAATTACAGCACTGTATTTTTGATTTTATATTTCGGAACACAGCTTTTCAGCAGAGTCATTGGATCTACTGACAGCGAGGGGTAGACAACTCCAGCGAAATGTGCACACCATAGTCAATACTCAATTAATCAACTGTACTCAACCTTCAATCAAATGTAATCGAATACTCAAAATTGAATGTACACCATCTCAAATGTAATCAACAAGTCTCAAATGCAGTCCGTTTCAAATGTAATCAAATTGTCTCAAAAGGAATCGAATCGTCTCAAATGTAATAAAATCGTCTCAGATGTAATCAAATAGACTCAATTGTAATGAAAAATACTCGAGAGTCTCAAGAAGTCTGGAAATTACTCAAATTTAATCAACAGGTACTCACTTATCCAGTGTACACCAGTCTCAACGAGTTGTCTACCCCTCGACTGACAGTACTGACCAGTTGAATATGTAAAATATATGAGATATTTATATTTCAATTTTATGGTCCTCAATCCAGCAAACATCCATGAAATCATTGTTTTCTGAATGTTCAACAATAAATTTGTTTTATCTCTTGGATGGCACGAAAGGAAATTCCTATTGTGCGTACCTAGGGAAGATAGGGGGAGGACTTTTGAGCCAGTTCAAAACTATTTTTTATATCATGCTAAGCATATTTTTACTTTAGAACTATGTTTTTTGACTTTTGTAGAAAGAATATTATGTTCTTTGCAACTCTAGTGCAAAATTCTCTGGTCATCTGGACTGTTTTTTTAACTGGACTACGCCTTGTTGAAAAAAACAGATCCCTATCACCAAAGTAGCATTTTATGCTCTAGATACAAAAATAACTATTTCCTTTTTAGTGCTTTTGTTCTCCTTTTTAGTGCATTTTTATGTTTTTTTATGTATAATATCAATCTTGATATTTATTTGAACTACTACTATGATGATAAGGCTGATATTTTTGCATGTTTTTTTTCAGGTGGGAAAGTGTATTTCTGTTTGACAATCTAAGGATGCAGTTTAGCATAGTTCAATAGAGAAAAAAAATATGATTAGAATTTTAAGCAGAATACTTTTGTTGTAACAAGATCAGTAAGTACCTAAGTATATTGAAAAAAGGTAAAAATTGATGATTTCATGATTTGATTGCTAGTTAACCACATTATATCAGATTGAACAAATCCAGCTTGTATGAAAACACCTTCAATATTATAGAAGATTCCAAAGATATAATATAACAAGAGATAGCTTGTAAATAACAATAAAATATATCATGATTATGAAAATCATCGCCCACACATAATAGGAAAATTACAATTCTATTATGTATTGAATGAGCATTGAGCACTACTTGATAGTCCATCCATGGAAACATTCATGCAACAATTTCAAATGATTTTTCAAAGAAAAAAGCAGATCCTCCGATTACCATTATTTGATTTTTCTTCCATCTGCATGATTTTGTTGTCGATTATTTCACTCTCATTTCGCATTTCACTATTCAATCACTTCATCAACAATAACAAAAGATAACAATAATCAAATTATGAAATCGTCAACACTGCCAGTGTCACTACTGTCAGTGTCAGTCAGTAGTGTCAATACAAATGTCTCTCGCCAGTCATACAAATAGTAGCATTAGCATGCTGCTGTGCTGCAGAGGATAGGAAGAGAATTATCATTATTCCAGATTTTTTGAGATTTTCTCTCCTTGTTTCTATAAAATAAAAATATGAATATTATTTCAATATACGGGTAGTTAGGACAAATCAGATGATTTGCCCCAAAATAATAATAATGAATGTACCACCTCCTCGATTAACCTACAGACAGTATTTAAAGGGCGCCGTACATTATGCTATTTCTCGACAAGTTTGAGGCAATGCAATTTTCTCAATTTATTGCAAGTCGCCGTACATTGAGATATTTCTGTCATATTTTCTTGGTCATATTCACTATTTTTAAGGGCGCCGTACATTATGCTATTTACCAGCAAGTTCCATGCAATGCAATTTTTAATCGAACAATGCGCATGCGTCTATGATATTTCACGGCAAGTTTCATGCAAGTTTCGTAATAGAACCAGTCCTATTTTTCCTGCGATTTCAAGGCAAGTTTAGTAAAATTTTGATTAATATTCATCGTAGCATCTTGATAAATTACAAATTTTCTCCATAACGTGGCCTGAAACACCAAATGAGCTCAAAAAGTACATTGAAGGCTCAAAAACCTGAAAATAGTGAATATAAACAAGAAAATATGACAGAAATATCTCAATGTACGGCGACATGCAATAAATTGAGAAAATTGCGATAAAATTGCATTGCCTCAAACTTGCCGAGAAATAGCATAATGTACGGCGCCCTTTGGTTTTTTGAACCTTCTATATACTTTTTGAGGTTATTTGGTGTTTCAGGTCACGTTATGGAGAAAATTTGCATTTTATCAAGTTGCTACGATGAATATCACTAAAAATTTTACTGAACTTGCCTTGAAATTACAGAAAAAATAGTACTGGTTCTATTACGAAACTTGCATGAAACTTGCCGTGAAATATCATAGACGCATGCGCATTGTTCGATTCAAATAATTTACGGCGCCCTAAGAAAAATATCGTTTCTTCATGAAAAAGGAGACTACTTCCAACCTAATTCAGCCTAAATAAACCTTTTTCCTGAGAAGCATATTTTTGGAAAAATTACTCGAGTGAAAACCGAGGTGAAAACAGAAGGTTATAAGGTATTATGAGAAAGGAATATATCGTTTCTGTATGAAAAAGGGAACTCCTTCTAACCTAACTAGTCCAGAATGAAACTTTTTTCTGAAAAGTACATTTTACGAAAAATTACTTGTTCTCGAGAACCAATCAGAATCGACTATTTCCATATAGAAGAATAGAATAGAAATATATTTAAGCATCTTTAAAAGTGGTACAAAACATGTTGAACAAATATATGTTCATACAGGTACCTACTTTATTAGACTAGTCATGAGAAATGGTTCTATAACTATAATAAAGACTTAAAAAATAGAAAACTGTTATTGTTACATTTAGATTACATTGAACACCGAATTAAAATCCATGTATAATAGATAAAAACGTTTAACACTGAAAAAATTCTTCTACAGAATAAAATGCATGTCTTACCAAAAACCTGTGCAAGAGAGATTTGAAGTATTTAAAATCATTAAAATGTTGTTCATTACCGAACTTCTTTTCAAAATGGTTATAAAGTGAAATACCTTTATACAAATGAGAATTTTGACCAATGGTAAGTCTTGAGAATGGTTGATATACAAGTTGTTTGCTCCTCGAGTATTGTAATTATGCTGAGAACTGTTTCGAACAAATGTTCCCAGTTGGTTTTTAACATTTAAAATTGTGAGAAATATATACAATGATGGTACTGTTAAAATAGATAAATCAATAAAAATTTGTTTGCTTGATGTTCTCTGATTGACACCTTTGATACACCTGATGATTTTTTTTTGCATCATAAATATTTTGTCAATGTGACTTGAGTTCCCCCAAAAAATCAAACCATAGGATATATTCGACTGCACCAGACCATAGTAGACCAACAGTAATATATCAAGAGATACTGTGTTTTTTAGTTGCCGTATTACAAAACAGTTTCTACTCATTTTATTATTCAATATGTTGATATGGTTCTCCCAGCTCATTTTGTGATCAAGAGTGACCCCTAAGAATTTGGTTGCCGTAACCTGTTCAATGCTTTTGCCATTGATCCTTATTAAAGAGCAGAAATCATTATTGATGTTTCTTGGAATGAAAGAAATGAAATTGGTTTTTTTTATATTCACACACAAACCATTACTATTGCACCACTTATAAAATTGATTTGCAACGATATTGGCATTACGCAATGTAGTTTCAAAACTGTTTTCAGAGATCATCATGGTTGTGTCATCCGCATACATTATATTGTGTGCTTGTGTGCATGTTAAATTAATGTCATTGGCAAAAATGATGAACAGTATTGGACCCAGTATTGATCCCTGGGGAACCCCTACGTTGACAGTTTTTTCTTCTGATTTTGTATCTTCCAGCATTACTATTTGTTTGCGATCTTTAAGATACGAAATGATCCAATTTAATGGTGTTCCTCGAACACCAATATGGTACAACTTTTGAAAAAGTAGATAGTGATCTACTGTATCGAATGCTTTACTTAGATCAAAAAATAGTGTGACAGAAAATCTTTTCGAGTTCAAGGAATCATAAACATGCGAGCACAGCTCTGCAATAGCAGTGTTCGTTGATTTCTTTCGCCGAAAGCCATGTTGATGGGAGCCTAGAAGATTTTGTGATTCAATAAAGTTTGTGAGTCTGATGTTGAATGCCATATCTATAATTTTTGTAATTTGACTTTGTAAGCAGATGTTTCTATAGTTATTCATGTCGTCTCTTGACCCTTTGTGTTTATAAACGGGAATTGATTTAGAAATCTTCAAGTTATCAATGTAATCGCCAGATGAAAAGGACTTATTGATTATGTGGGCTAATGGTATACTTATAAATTCTTTTACAGAGCGAATAACTTTTCCGTTGATTCCATCAATACCAGCTGATGGTTTCTTAGTGGTTTTATTTATTATATCTTCGATCTCATACGGCGTTATTGGAGTAATAAATAGTGTGTGCTTCTTTATGGGTGACATTGTCAATCTGCTATGGTCTGGTTTGATATTCGTTGAGTTGACGAAAAAGTCACTCAGCATATTGCATAACTTATTCTTGTCAGTTATTGTCTCGCTATTAACAACTAACTGATTTATAGTGTGTTTGTTAGTCATTCCTCTTTTTTCATTGATTATTTTCCAGCTTTCTTTTGTTATGTTCGAAGAATTTTCTAGTCTGGCGTTATTAAATGTATACCTTGCTTGTTTCACTTTCCATTCATAAATATTTTTCAACTGTATGTATCGTTCTTTAATGATGTGATTGGTTGTTGTTTTTGCAATACTTCCCATTTCACAAACCATTTTATGTAATTCCTTGACTTCATTGTTATACCATTTTTTGTTTGTTTTACGTTCTCTTATTCTTTTGAAGTTAAATGCCATATCAAAGTTATACAGGAGGGTACTATAAAATTCCTCGAACATAATATTTACATTTATGTCAGACGAGCTGAATACTCCTTGCCACTGTTCCTTACTGATCAGGTTTCTAAAGGTTACTAAATTAGAATCTGACATATCCCTCACCATATGATTTCCGTTTTTTGGTAAATAATCTATAGAAAGATTGAATTTACACAATTGAAATGTATGATCTGATATGTGATTACTTTGAACATATGTATTCTGACAATGGAGGTTAGAAAATATCAAATCAATACAAGTAGAGCTTTTACATGTGATTCGTGTAGCTTCTGTAATATAATTCTTCATTCCGAATTCTTCGAATACGTTTATCAACTCTCTTTTACTCGTGGTGTCCATGAATATATTAATATTCATATCTCCACTCACTATGTAGTAATTGTCATTCGAATATATATCACACATCATTTCATACATTTTTCAAGGAACATTTTTACATCACTATCAGGGGTTCTATAAACGTTTACAATATATAGTTTGGTGGACTTGTTCAAATTTATAAATGTTATTGAACATTCAAATTCTTTCTCCCTACTTTTGTTAAAATCTATGGACTTCGCAACTGAATGATATTTTTCTTTAATGTATATACAGGTGCCACCTCGCTGATACTCTCTGCGACAAAAACTGCTAATTAGTATAAAACCTGGCAATTCAAATATACCGATTTCCTGTGATTTCAGCCAGTGCTCTGAGAAACAGCAAATATGAACATCATTTTGATCAAGTATTATTTCAAGATCACTAGCTTTGTTTGATATTCCCTGAATATTTGCATGCATGAGTATAATATTTTCAGTTGATTCACATGTATTACTAGTTAGTGAAGTTGAGTTGGTATTTCCATTGCTTCCATTCTTTCCTTTCATTTGTTTTGTTTGTTTGTTCTCCTGTATTCCAGCGATATTTTTTGTTTACTTAACTGAAATTATTCAGACTTGCTCTACCAATACAGAAGCCGAATTGACCTACACCCCGCACTTGACCAACCAACCTTGTTTTTCAGCGATACAATTTTTGAGGTTCGTAATTTCAATCATGAAATATCCATACGAGTACAACTCGTGAAGCTATTTCTCCTGGAAATATTCGACGAATGAAATACTCCAGCTTGCTGCTTTGATTTTGCTCATGACATTGATTCAAATCCTCTCGCCCACGGCTTGAAAGTGATTGTGAAAGTGTTGATCACAGGTCACAGGTGTTGATAAACAATGTCAGGTGCGGCGAGTTTTGTTTCTGCCAATGGTAAGGGCAAGATATGATAATGCGCCGTAGACCTAAATTTTCCATGGTTCAAGAGGTCGGATGCCTTGAAATTTGAAGATAGTAAGTAGCAATATTAATTTTGCATTGAGTGTGAAACAACCTCTACCAATAGTTATTTGTTTTACTAGGCAGAAAAGTAGTAGATTGACTGCCGCGGCTGATAGTCAATACAGTCAATCTAC